TTAAACCTTATTTTCAATAAGCAATCCTGAAAAATATTTGGGGGTGCTTAACTTTTTTCCAGTTGTATAGTTTAGTTTAGAGGATGGAACAGTTGAGATGGATCAGTAGATCCCTTGTTGTCCTTAAACATTGTTATGTTATATAATTCAAAGTTTTGCAGCTTTTTCTGCACTGGAATAAGTTTGATAAGCTAAATTTTATTTTAAGTTTATGCACAGTACTAAACTTGAAAGAACATTTATATGCATACTAAATGCAATATTTGATGTAATTATCATTTACATATGACAATTTTAGATATATATCATTTCACCTTAAAATGCAATGTTGTTTTTACCAAATGAATTTTCAATGATAGTTCAGTTGAAACTGTAGCATAAAAACTCCAAGTAATAAAATATAGTGGAATTATTACTGAAACTTATGAAAGTTACTAACATTTGTGAAACTTGAACATAATGATTTATTATACTGATTGAGTTAATATGTTTATATATATATTACTTAATCTCAAAAATGGCTCATCTTTTATTTTGACAGTCATTATTGTTTGGGTTATCTAAAGAGTTAGAGTAAAAAAGTCATGTATATGAATTTTCTTTCGTAATACTCCTTTATTTAAGTACGAAGACCGTTAATAAAAAGATAGTGGAGTATTTACGACAAGAATCATTTCATGAAATACTTCCACGTCATAGTGGATGATGATGATGAAATAGGACTACATATAATTCCTAAACAGTGAATAGTGATGAAACAAGATAACAGATAATTTTTAGCAAGTGGATGGTGATGGAACACGATTTCAAATAATTCTTAACAAGAGGAAGGTGATGAAACAATACTATAGATAATATCTACGAAGTGGATGGTGATGAAAGGAAATTACAGATAATTTTTAACAAATGGTGACAAAGCAAGGCTACATATAAGCTTTAATATGTTATTTGTATCTTACACTAAACAGATATGTTGCAGAAAGAGTGCAATAATACACTTGCATTTGTCTTTCCAGCACTCTTCTCACAAATTTCTCAATCAAATGCTATAAATCTCATATTCTATTAAAAAAAAATGAACATTACTCTTAATACAATTTCTGTGGGCTTTCTCAGCTTGTTTAGGTCTAATATACATGTGCAATTCGTTCAAAGCACATTCAGATGTTTCCGCATAATCAGGTACATTCACTTTCATTACAACTTTACGTTTATTTTAATTTGCAATAATTTATCTTTGGTTCAGTTCACAGACTGCTATAAACACCTTTTAGCTACTTTTTTCTTTACAATTGGTTTTATTCTTTGTTTTTATAGTTTCTTTGTTTCAATTTGTAAAACCATGTCATAAACTGAATGCTCATAACTATTTTACACTGTACACTATTATAAATATCGTTACTATACTTAATTGTTTACTTTACATGTAGTTTTATTAAATAAAGTTATGTCTACGTGAGTTTGTCTGTCTGACTGCATAAAATTTTTCAAATAGACCAGGATTTATCGATCTGACACGTAATGTCTGCTAGAAAGAGTAGTTTAAATGCCATGCGTGAAAATGATAGAATAAGGAAAAGTCAAGGGAAGGCCATTAAAACTACCACAAATGTTTAGAAGGTCATGGCTAGTTAATATTTCAACCATGTGTTTTATGCTGCTTCTAATTAGACCTTTCACTTATCTGAACCCAATAGCCAAGTGATGTTGAATCTATGAAGCGTGTACAGTAGCAGAGGCTATGGAATATTGATGTACTGTTAAATAATATTGGTTATGGTTAAAAGTTAATTATATAATTAAGACAAATTTTAAACCATTCTAATCTTTATTGGTGAGAAATTTTAAAGTTCAATGTATTTTCTGGTAAACAATTGTATTTATTGATTTTGTCTGCTTGTGAGAAATTAATTGATTGAAGTATTACTAGAGTTGAAAATATAAGCGTTATGTTTTTCATTTAAATGTGTGATAACAAAAAGACAATCCTTTAAAAATATTAATATATTTGAGTCATTCTTTTGAGTTATAACTGTGATGCTATCATACTTCAAAATTATTGTATGTAAGTAAACATTAAATTATATTAAATATAAAGATATCAAACTAGAATATATTAAAAGTAAGAGAAAAAACATAAAGTACTTTGATTATTATTTAAGTGCTTTATCGGAAATAACCATTTAGGTGCTGATATAAACATAAAATACCACTAAATTCTAAAATGACTGAAGATGAGAGTTAACTCAAGAATAAGATAAGGGTAGCAAATTATTCTCCACTAGCATGTCAAGACAATTTCTTCAAAGATTTAAAGTGAAGAAATGTATTTCTTTGCTTAACAACAATAACAAAAAGGCAAACAATGAGTAATTTCTGTAACTTGTTACCAGTGTTAATCGTCAATGTATCATATGAACACTAGGCAGAAAGTCAACAAGCCAGGCTCTAGGAAGTGGGTGAGCTCATTGGAGATTAACTAATAAATGAATCATCTGGATAAAGTATTGAATGAATCTCTTGTTTCATTTTGCTTATGCTACATATTAGTATTTCTTCTTGCATCTGTCCTTTATCGGTTTAGAAGAAAATAAGAAACTTAAATCATATTGAGTGATATACAAAAGCATCATATAAGAATATGTTTAAAGGGCAACAAAACTAGGTCCAAATTTGATAAATATACCTATAGAGAAAGTGTATGAGGATAATACTCAAATATATCTAATACCCTCTGATAAAAACAAAAAAAAACCTTAAGTTGTTTTTATCCAGATCTATCAAATTCAATACACACTTCTCTAAATCATACAAAGTACCTGTTGGATCCAAACAACAAATTGGAGCATTTATCTTTCACTGATCTTTAAACTATCCTTAATTCAATGGCTAAAAATAACTGACAATACTTGATGTCTGTGAAACAACTTTAAAGAAATGCTTGACTTCACATTTTTTTTTTTACTGGATTAAGACAATAACTTAATTTAGGTTTAATTATTATCACAGGAAGTTTCTCAACTCTCTCTCTCTCTCTCTTCTTTTTTTTTTTTTTGTTAAACAAGCCAGAAGTAATTCTAAGTGGACTCTCTGTTTTTTGTTTGGTGTTAGGATGACATTTCAGTATCCATGCCAAGCTATACATCAAATGAACTCAGTAAAGAACCAGAGGTGTTGTCTCAACACCAAATCAACTTAAGAGAAATCCATTAAATACAGTCCACCGGTGAAATACCCTATCTAATCTAACCCTGAAATTAAAATATAAACATTATTCCTGTTGATACAGCTTACTTTTTTTTTCTTGTGTGTGTGCGTCTTTCTGTACATGTATGCAGGCAAGTAAATATTTTAGTTCAACCTCAAATACCCTGTGGATACTTTACATTTAGTAGAAAAAGCTTTAAAAGAGAGAGGCATGTCGGAGCAGAGTAGATAAAAACCTTTGATTTATTTAACTTTAGTTTGCTAACGATTAATGATACACCTAAAAGATTAAACAAACACAAGAAATCACATTTCAAGATTGTTAAACTCCAGAATAGAATTGCGATAGTTTTGAATAACATGCAAAATATATATATTTAAAGATTCAACTTGAGCTTGCTCACGTGCTTTGGTAAATATAAGAGAGAGAAAAGCAAAAATGAAATGGACAAGGACACCAAAGTAATTATTCTACATGAAGATTAAAATGTATTTACGATACATTTCCTTATGCCACCAAAAGTAGCAAATATTTTTATTATGATATGGCATACCTTGATTGGCTCATAAAAAAATATTCGAAGATAATTTATTAAATATAATTACTTCCTTCATCATATAAAAGATGTAAGAAAATTTCGTTTTTTGATTTATAATTAAACACAAAGCTACGCAAAGAACTATCTGTGCTGCAGTTACCTACCAAGAAAATATATCGGCAAACCACTCGTACTTTACACCAAGAACTGCTAGTACTGTGTACAGCATAGTTGTTCAAATCTATCAAACTAAAACATGAAAGTGGAGTTTAAAGCATTAATGAAATATCATACGCACGTAAAATATATTATTCCGATCTAGAGTATTAATCAACTTTTGTTACTTCTCATTTATACGATTCTCGATGAACGAACTAATAATTAATTACATAAAGGCGTACAACTGGCATCAAATTATTATATTATCTGTGTTTCATGAAAATGACCATTAAAATACTTGTATAATTATATCTCCAACGAAATTCTTCCTTTGTTGTGATTTTCCTATTAATGTTATTTCAGTATGTGATAATTAAGTCTTTGAGAAATTTCCCGAAACTTGTCAAAAACATGCATGTGATTATACTTCCAAAGAAACTCTTTTTATTTATCATATATTATTTTTTTCACGGTAATTAATCGTATGAGAAGTAGCTATTATAAATTGGAAAGATAAAAACTTTATACCAGTCATCATATAACTTATTTCTTTTTTTTTGTTGTTGTTAAAGTAATTACAATCATTATTTGCCTACACGTTTAATTGTCTATATAATGATGCCTGATGTCGGGTTTTCGTTTTGAACATATATTACAATTGTGCAGAATAGCTGTATTAAATATGGTATGCAGCAGAACGTATGTTTTATACCGCTTTTAGGAATAACAACTACTTTACGCATAAGGCAACGCCATAACGCATCCTGATATGCAAGATCAACGTATACATATACATATAGCTCTGCTCGATCACTTGCTGTTCAATAACACGAACTGTACTGTGGGACAGAGTTTGACGTCACTCGGCGTTCCTGGTCGACAAAAGGAATATGGCGGGTAAGATTTGTTAAGTAGCTTTGGCAGTTAATTTCAGTTTTTGTAGCATGGGCGTATGAAACACTCAGTTAAAACAGCAAAAAGTAGTGTTTAACATTGTAATTTGTATTTATTTTTTACAGGACTGATTGCTAAATATCATTGTAATTACTGCCAGGAAGATATAACAGGATTAAGGGTGAAGTGTGCCGAGTGCCCAGACTTTGACTTATGTTTACAGGTAAGTCACATGACTTATTTTATTCTCACACGTTCTTTCGACTGACACCGACAGTATCAGGGATAGGAATTATTGTGTGGCGGCAGTTTCAGTTTAATTAACTGACAAATTACTCACGTCACACGCAGCTTCAGATTTATAGTATTACTATTAGTACTCAACTAATAAATATATCCGTAACTATAGTTAAGTTTGTGTAACACTAATAGAATAGTATGTTTAAAATACTGTAAATTGTAAGTCAGTGACTGCTCTTTAATGTTTTTAAGTTTTATCCTTTATTAAACTTAAACCAAGTTAAACTTAAAATGAAATAGAAGGTTAAGTCATAATTTGCTTGCGACGTAAAATCTGATAATATGATTCTAAGTTAATGTCTGTATAGATTTGTATATATTTTCTGTTAGTACTAAGCACGCATAGGTGCCCACAGAAATGTTTGTTGTTGTTTTTTTTTTGGGGGGGGGGGGGTAAAACGTATGTAGGGGATCAGCTTTTACAGTGTAAGTCAACAGACTAAAAGAATGTGTATGTGTGCTTAAACACAAATTTACAGTTTTAATAAAAATGACTAAAAATTTTTGTTTAATTATGATGTTAAGTTTACATCATAATACATGCACTTTTTTTTTTAAAATTATGGGGGGTAACTGCCCCCTCTTGCTCCTTCCAACAGGTGCCCATGCAAGTACGAACTGGTATTTTTTGTTTTCAGTGAAATAGTATTCTGACATTCAAATTAAATGAAAGTTTTGGGTATATTATAAACTTATGACTAATAATACTAAGATATGAAGATAGTTAAACAAAGCTTATATAGTGATTTTTTGGTATGTTGACATGTTACCTGTAATCCTTGTACGTGTATCAAAATAAGTTTTGTTAAAACTTAAATTAATCATAAAAGATATGGAAAAAATAAACATTGTAATTCAATAGCCTGAACAATGGTATAAACTGTTGTTGCAGTTATTAGAGAAGTGCAATTAAAAAAGTTGTCTTATTAACATGAAATAATAGTTTGGCCTATAGGCTAGTGTAGTAGACTGTGGCTCAGCCCTGGTGGCAAACTACTGAATTATTGAGGGTGGCCCAACAAGAACAATGAGTGATAATAACATTGTGTCAAGTGATACAATAGTCAAGAAGAAGTATCAAAGCTAACAGAATTGTTATGTAGTTGGATGCAACAATTCATGTTCAAAAGACCCTACAATCTCCCTTTATAACTTCCCAAATGAAATTTTACACAAAGTCAGAAGAAAGAAGTGGATAAATGCAGTCAAATGAATAGGGTAAGTTTGCTGATTGTAGAAGTAGACTAGCACTAAGTGTCTTGGCTTTTTGACATGGTATCCTGGTAATTCACTTTTCTTACCATTCTCAGTAAAGAATAAATATCATCAAAAACATTCTTTGTAAAGGTATAGGCTACCCATGAGCCAACCATAAAGAGCAAAAACATTCAGCCATGTAGTATTGTAAAATCAAATATTTGGAAAATATGTTTTGAAAACTTAAAAACTTCTCATACTTATTATGTCATCTTGGTTATGATTGTACGCTTTTTGGAAACCATTGTCATTTCAGTAAAATATGTTAAGATATTATTAAACAAATTTACTGCTTACAACCATAAGTCACCCTCGAGAACTTTTGACACTGCCAATAAGGGAGAACAGTTGCATCAACCCATAGCTACTACACTAGTCTATATATGATAACATCTTAGGACAGGACAAGAAAAAAATATTTATTTCTTTAGTAAACCTATACTTGTTGGTTAGGGGCATTCAGAGTAATATGCGACTCTCTTTATGTTGATGTAAAAATAAATACTTTGAATATGTGGGATACAAGTATTCTCACTAAAGTACATTGTTGTGATAAAGGAGTAGAAATTATGTTGCTAGTGTAGGGCTCTAGACTACAAATAAAATAGTCACAAATGTGACTGAAATATTTTTGGCAATATTGCAACTGCTCTTTCCAGTGCTGACTGCAACCTACAAAGAGAAAATAAGGTTACTGTAACGTGGCGGTTTACTTATACAGCAAAAGTGAAGGTGGCCAGATACGTCAGTGTGAATACTAGTTGCTTAGATATATAAAAAAAGTACCTGAAAAGTAAAAAATAATATAAGTTTAACGAAAGGAGTAAGAAGAAAATGGGCACCATTTGACAAACAGTGAACCCAGTAATATACTGTTCATTTCGTATTTTTCTTTTTAGACAAAATTTTGAAAATTTTTATTATCATGGTTGTAACAACCTAAAAACAAATGTTGGAAATGATTGCTCCTCAGCTGCATTAAACACGTTCTTGAGTAAAACCTTTATGAAATGCATTCAGTGATATAAATCAGTGTGTGCTGCATTCCAGTTTTCTATTTAACACTAAGTGTTTTTCCAGTTCTCAATAAATTTATAAATAACACTTATAAAAATGGATATTTTTCATCTTCATCTATGTTGAGTTTTTACTCTTCTTCACAGTGAACACTTTTGAGGTACAGTTAGCTCAAAGGTAAACTGCTTACTTTATGTCCACACGTGTCAAGGCCTAAGCATAGTCTTTCAGATTTGGCATAAAGTTATGGGAGAAGGAAGGGAACGAATATATGTAAGATAGATACGTTAATGAACAAGAAATACTAAAATATGTATTAAATAGTGTTTGTAGGGTATGCATAAAAACAACTTTTGGGGTAAGTTTTTAAGCTTGTGTCTTTCATATAACATGGTTTGAAACTGTTTTGTTTCTTAAGCAAAGCAGTTATTAGAGCAGTCAGTGTCAGGGCATGCGAGTTTATATAAACATTAAGTTTCTGTTTTTGTATCATTTTTGTGTTATCACAAGTTTTGTATTTTAAACAGTTTAATATAGAAGTAGTGAACTTGCTATTAAAGTGGTGACCAACAACTGAATTTAGTGTCCAAAATTTTTGTTCTAGGAGCCACTGGCTCCTTGAGAAGAGAGTATGTCTGGAGCCCAGTAGTGGCAATATAGTGTTTAATATACATGTAATACTTCTGGTTAAAGTTCTTTTAGAGGTGTTACAATAAAGTGCATAACTATAAAGCTTTCTTCTTATGATTATGAGTGGTATTTTTAATAAAATCATAGTAAGTAAAATGTTTTACAGACATGCAGGAGAATGTAATGCTTACATAAAGTGAAACAAGGACAGTCTTCCATATAAATATTGATTAATTAATTTTAATGGTGTTTATGCTTTAAAATATTTTTTGTTCAAAAACATCTTAAGATATATCCATTTGAAATTTTATAATTATTACATCTGTGCAGGTTAAAAAATATTTTTGGCTAGATTTCTGTGTAGCTTGACTTTAATACTCAGGGTGTCTACATGTTGTTAATTTACTTTGGTATGCTTAGGATTGAAGATGTAGAAAATGGTAATCAAGAGTTTGTGTTGAATCTGTATGAGTTACAGTCAGGGGTTTCAAGGGTAGTAAGTTTTTAATTGGCAGTTGTTTTAGGCTACTTCAGGAGTACCCAAACTGGTAGCCAAGGATCCCCAGGGGCTGCATGAAAGTGTTGGAGGGACAAAGCAGATACTCAGTATTGTGAAGGTATTCTCTATCTATAGACTCATTGGGTGGGGGGTCTCAGTCAGGATGTTCTGAAGACCTTGTGGTGAGAAAGTTTGGAACCCCCTACCTTACCTGATCAGACAAAAATGGTTACTGGTAAATTGTTTAATGGGTTCAGCATTACTACTCATAAGAATACTGTAATTCTGGAAGACCAATTTTAAACACATTTATTGAGATTGTATGGAGTCAAATAGTGAGGAAGAGAGATTTTTTGAAATGGTTCAGCAAGATGATTTTATGTACCAAGTGGTCATAGAGCCAACCAGAGGAGATGACATTTTAGATTCATTATTAACCTCTTATGAGGATATGATTGCACAAGTTGACGTGAGGTTAAATTTAGAGAAGAGTAATCATTGAATAGTTAGGTATGATGTTTGGCTACATGTTGGGATAATAAGAAATGAACTTTTTGTTTCTAATTTTCAGAAAGCTAATTTTGAGGCTGTAAGACAAGATTCATTGTCAGTGAATTGAGGCAGTGGGTTAAATATTGATGTGAGGCAGATTTGGGAAATACTTGAAAATTAATTGCTTTTAATTCAGCATATTTCAAATGTCGTATTTTTTGTTGAGTTTGTATTGTTTTGCAATTTGTTTTCTAAATTAGCATTTAAAATAATTTTTATTTTGTATAGTTATAACTTAGTGTATATGAGTAAAATTTGTTAATGGTATTTTTATACGTTTGAGTTTACGCATTCTTTGTTATTGGTATGTTTAACATTCTTGACTAAGTAAGTGGCTTAATGAACATTTTCTAAAATTTACATCAGGAGGTGTACCTTTCATAAAATAAGTTTGTTGAACTTGTGTTTCATGTTGGCAATCATTTGTATTTTTTCGTATAACTTGTATTTTAAGGAATATTTATATAAAAACTTGAACATGTTTTACTCTTATAATTTTGAAAAAGTATTGTTAAGACATACAAAAGTTTTACATGATTTCTGAAGAATTAGATTCTTACACTCTTATGCAGATATGTATATAATTTATTTTTTATATTTTTGCTTTATTGTGTTCTGTCAGTGTAAATTCATTATTACAGGTTTACATTGATTATACATTATTTTCAGTAAGTCATTTTTATCTGTTGTTTATGCAACTGTTCTTTGACGTACTTCATCAGAATTTGATTTTTGTAGTTGTGACTATTCCATTCAATGATTGTGTTTTGTATAATGCTTATGCCATATCCATGTTCATAATTAATATTGTTTTGAGTTAGTTGCTTTCTTACTAATTTTCAGTTTCCTATTAATGTATGACAAACACCCCATTTGTTTTCTACCTGTTAACTTTTTCTCTGTATTTCAATCTTATTCATATTTTAAAAAATAATACTATACTACCTGGGAGCATGTATTTAAACTTTTACGTTTTACCATTATGACTGTCTTTGTCAAATCTGGTGGTTTGTCTAAATTTGTTTTGAAAAGCATACAATTTTTCTCATTGATTAGGGAAGATCATTTGGTATGTTTATGTTTACTATAAATATGCTAATGATCTTATAAAGGACTGTTTGTAGGCTTGGATATTGCTATGTAGACATTTTTCATTTTAAGTTCTTGAGAATGTACACGTAAATTGTTTATAAGAATGTGAAACCACTAGGGAATAGTAATGTAATTTAATCTATGAAGGGTGGTCATCTTATTAACATTTGAAAAGCTAATCTATTGTTCATTCTAAGCAAAAGGATTTCCTGTCCATTTGTAATTATTATTTTTATTTTATACTGTCAGAAACTGATTAATCTGTATAATTAAGAAAAAGGTTAAAGCCAATGTGTACTGCTATTTTTTGTTTTACTTTAAAAGTAAACACTTTTCAGTTTAATGGTAACATGTAATTAAAATTTTAAAGCTTTATTAAGTATTCTATTTTAGTCCTGTATAAATCCATATGTACATATATTTATACAACTGTACTGCTGTATTGCTTATAGATTCATAAACCCTTTCCGGAGCAGCTATTGAGCATAGTGTAAAATTTTGTTTTTGCTCTACTTTACATGGACTTTTATAAGATTTAACCATCAGAGATATAAAAAGGAAAATACATAAATACTAGATCAACCAGGAATTCTGTTTCAATATATGTTGCTCTCTCCTTTCAAATAAATTTAGGAGATATGACATCATACAGATGGAGTACGGTATGTTATTGTACATGTACGCTGTTTTTATAATATGGCTTTGTGTTTATTATATTGCAAAACCTATTGGCCAGTCTGTGATACTTAGTCTATCTTTTGGCCTACCTTAGTTGTTTTTTTTATATTATACAATGTCTTTATGTATATTTACTTTTCTAGACTAAGTTTTGTTTTTGTAAGACTTGTGTTGCTTGTGCACGTGTGTTTGGTATCTTGTTTCACAGTCAGGAAGTGAGTGGATATATGTAGCACAAAATTAACCCACATTTTTCTAGGAGTAACGACATTGTAGCATGTATACGAGATAACTGTGCTATGAAAATAATTAACTGGTTAACATAAAAACAAGAAGGCCAGAAATGATGCCTAAAGATTATGAGATCTCAAGTGTTAACAGCAGACTAGTCCAGGAAGCCATTTTGAGAAGATGGCTAAGAAATTATCTTTACATTGCTGTAGCTTAGATGTTTATTGTCAATAAAGATCAAAGTGTTTGTGACTGAAGCTGAGTTGTCTTCACTTTTAAATACATGTACTGTAACTTATTGAACTCTTCTCATTAAAAAGGTGAGAATCCACCTAAATTTGTACTTTTTTGTCACTTAGAGCTCTGTAAATTTAAATTACCAATTAATACACATACTAGTACAACTACTTACATGAGTGTATATATAATGTTGAAAAAATGTAGTGGTAATTAATGCTTGTTTCTAGGTGGTACACATCTTTAAGTTTATTTGAACAATAACATGTGCCTCTTGTTAACTTTTTATAGTTAAAAACTTATTTAGAAAAAAAAAGCATAAACTCATGTCAAAGCAACAGGTAAAAGCCAGTAGAAATGCTCTATTTTATATTTGAAAGAAATGTTTTCCCATATTTACACCTTCATAAATATAAATAACTGGGCCTAATGTGTAAATGTATTCAGAATTCAATAATTATATACATGTATCACTTAAGTAACAATCAAATCATATAGCAGTATAGATAAAAAAAATTTTTTTAAGTTGTCTAATCAAATTAATAAGATAGCGAAATCGAGTGTTGTGTTGTCATTGGAAATTTTACACTATCTTTAGAAGACAAGGATAGTTTTTACTGAGATTAAGCATATGGACAAATGTTGTTTTGGGAGGTTTAAAGTTTTAAATTTTGTTTGGATGGTTTTTGCACTGACTTGTAAAAGGTAAGGAATATGAAATTCTGTTGATTCTTTAACACCCCCCAAAAAATATTTAAACATTATGGATGATGCTTTAAACTTTACTAATCTATGATATTTTGTAGAAATTTGTGGTTTTCTAACCTTGTAGTGACTCAGTATAACAAATAAGAGACACACAGAGAGAAAAAGTACATCTAGCAATTAAGGCATTTTTCTTGGTACCTGAGCATTGGGCCAAAGTTTTCCCACCAGTGGTCGTAATAGTTCACTTCTATTTTTCTGACCAAAAAAGGCTTCCTGAAACATGCACTTTGGAAATTTTTGACACATTGGATTTTTTATATGATAGTTTACTATTCTTGATGTTATGTATTTATCAAGATAGATCAACAGGATAAAAAAGAGGACTACTAAAACTCAAACCTATAACTTTAGCAAACACATGTTGCTTAACACATTTGGAAGAATCAACCCCAGAGCTATGCACTTTACATTTTAACTCTTACATCAGTTTCCTCTTGTGAAGTAAGCTCATCCGGAAAGGGTTTAAAGCAGTTGCATAGTTAAACCCATAGTAGTATTGTCTCATGGCATTTTTTTATTTATTCATTTCTTTTTATTTTATTTTTTTCTGGATTTACACCTCTGTGACAAAAAAAAAGACTGCATGTAAATTAAAATAAACTCCTATTTTAATCTCCAGAAGTGTTCTGCTTTTTATTTAAATGCCATGAGTTATGTAGCCTGTAACATTTGCATGTATGTAAGTGTACTGACTAATGTCATGCTAGATCCAGCTTATCTCACGATTATTTTATTTTTACTTTTATTTTTCAGTGTTTCTCGTGTAGAGCTGAAATAGGAGAACACGAGTTCAATCATCGTTATCAGCTTATAGTGCGTAATTTTCCTCTTCTTTACTTATATTAGAAGCCTAATACAGATAATTGTAATAGACCACAGCAGATTAAAGATTCTTAAATATTTCACTATTTAACATACTTCTGATCACAATTTGATGAGCTCATGTTTTCTGAATTCAAAAAAAAAAGTGCACTTTGAAGCTTCTCTGTAGCAAAGGGGTAAAAGTTTACTATATAACAGGTAAAAGTGTTGATGTATTTAAATACTAAATTTTCCAATTTACAACAACCAGCATGAACTTGTGTTACCACTAGGTTGTTTGATAAATAGTTTTAAGATTCATATAGTAACAAAAGTTTGCACACATGATTATAGGTTTCAGTTTTGTGTCTTGCAGTGGAGATTTTTTTTTAAGTCTTGTTGGGTGTTCTTGTTTATTCAAAAGAAAAAAAAACATCTTAGAAAAGATCAACCAAATTTTTCAAAGAAAGGTTTCCATCCAAGACTTGTAGCCTTTAATGAAAGTGCAAAAATAGAAGAGTGCCAGAAAAATGTCATTTTTAGTGTACAAATATACAACAGCTGTATATTTGTAGTATTATATCAGTGAATAAATGTTACATATTTGGTCACAAGTGTACCATCTCAATAATAAATTCACTGCTTTACATAAAGATGTTTTAATGCTAACTATTATTTTGTTTATTCGCTGGAGACATTTTCGGTTGTTTGTGTTTTGATAGTAGAGTAAATCAAATGTTGGAGGTATGGTCATCTGAGAACCCTTAAACCCATTGACACTGACTCAAAAAAATGCTTAGTATTGGACTTAATCATTTTCATTGATTGTGAACTGCAAAAAAAGTATCTTTTGGTAGTGGTGACTAAAATCATATGTTATTGGATTTAATAATCTTCATCTGCTACTTGAAGTAGAAGGTCATATATATTTTGACTTCTGTTGATGCTGAAATATAGTAGCATAATTTAAGCTTAAGAAGCAGTATTTTTGTAATATACATGCATCTTTGTGGAAATGTAATTGATTTATGAATTAGTAGTGGTTTGATACTTAAAAAACAAATGTTTCAATCAAGTTCAATGAAAGTGCAGATTTTGACAAGATAGTTGTAACTCATTCCTTACACTTAATGTGATGACTTGTATAGTTGCAGTGATCATGCGTAGTTCCTTTTTCATTATTGTAAGTTAAATATTTTTATAAGATACATTTTAATCAAATGTGAACAAATATGAAAGCTATCTGAACAATTATTTCATATTTCAACTGTTACGCTGTAAAAACATTCCATCAAAGATAACGTGTACTATTTTCCCATTTCTACTGATAACTTCTTATTTTCTTGGCTAATTCACTTTTAATTCTCAGTAACACTGTTCATATTTATTAGAATTTGATTTAATTATAGTTAAACTCAAATAAAACCAAAACATTAAAATTGGATAATACTGGATTTCAAGAAGTTAAATTTTTTAGAAGTGACCTTTAGAAGCCAAATATTAATTGTATAACAAATTTAATATTGTAAACACAAATTAGAGCTAAAAAGTAACAGTTTTGTAAGCTAGGGAATTAAAAATAGCCTTTTCAAGTATTAGATAGAAGTTAATATAAAACTTAGCATAAAAAACACAGGTGCGGTACTTTTTCCAAGTACAAAAATTTTTAAATTATAGGTAAATAAAGGTACATTGAACTTAAGTACTTATTTTGTAGTAATGGTATAAATATTATGATTAAAATCACATAGACTCAAAGTAGGATATTCTGGTACTTTAAAGTAAATAATGGGGTTGTGTATTTATGAACATTAGATAACTTGTAGATCAAATGCGTGTGCTTCTGTTGTAGGACTGTGGTAATATTCCTATCTTTCAACCACCTCATGACTGGAAGGCTAAAGAAGAACTTGCTTTACTAGAGATTGTTGAACACTTTGGATTTGGAAATTGGTAAGTCTTAATGGAAGGTTCAAATGATAAGTACTACCTTAAAATCTACAGGGTTTTTGACAAGAACATATGATACTTAATGTTAACAATAATGTATGTTATCAATACAAGGTTCAGTGAACAACATCGAAACAAAAGTTGTATCTAATGCTCTTTTGCCTAATCTGTTGTAAATTAACAGTATTAGTAACTGGATTTATGTTTGGCTTAATACAGCAATATTGGCAATGGAAATGGTTTTAACATCAGTGTGACTGATAACACTGTTACATTACTGAAGCAAAAGGTACTTAACGGAAATATGTTTAATATAAATGTTTATAAATGTATTTTATTTACATTTATAATTACCAAAAGAAAGTGAATCATTTTTATTTTTTTTATATAGTGAACTTGATTTCTTTTGTTTGTATGTTTGATATTATTGTGGAAGTATAGATCATGACTTCTTTAAATGAAATATTTCAAGTACAGCATGGATGTGAGAAGGTTGTATACTTGTAATATTTCTCTACTTTAGACAAAGTTTATATTCTACAGTGATTCAACTTAGTTGAATGGATGGCAACTGCCTGTTGTAGAGACACAAGTGTAGAGGATGAAGTTTTGAAAGTCTTCCACCTGAGGACGAAAGGCAGAAGACTTTTGAAACATCATCCTCTACACTTGTTTTTCTACAACAGGCAATTGCCGTCCATTCAACTAAGTTTCATCTTGAATACTTTGCCTAAACAATCTATCAGAGAATTCTACAGTGATTGTTTAGGCATACACTTGTTTGGCCATGTTTCCAAGAGTGGAATCATACTCATTTCAAGTTGTTGTACAGAGACTTGTACAAGATAATGAGTTTAGGCTTATCTCCCTCCAATATGTTTAATGGAATGATCATTGACATCAGTAATCTAAAGATTTTAGAATACTACATTGGCATTAGTCTGTCTTAACTATGTGGTATGCCCTTCTCCTTCTGGCCTTTGTCCTGTACAGGTGAAACTTATTCTTAATTTTCTTCTATATGGATGTTTTGGTTGAAAATAATCTCTAAGCACCATCCAGTAAAAGTTATTCAGCAAACTAGAAACTGGCCAATAAGAAAAAATTACACATTATTTTGTATGATTAAAATGTTCTATTTGTACACTTGTGTTCATTTTAATTTCCTTTACTTTCCTTATTTGAAATAACTCTGCATATAACATTTCTGAAACCTGTATTTTGTAGATATTTGATACTTTTTGGTGGATATCAGTGTAACCACAGCAGTGTTAAACCTTTAAGCATAAAAAGTTTAGAATATAGTTTCTCCTTTCAAACCTTAAAGACTGCAATAAATCTGCAAAGGTAAACTCTCACCAAGTGGAACCATAATTGGTTTCGTGAAACGAATCATCATCTCCTGCTAATCTTCTAGAAATTTTCATTCTTTACTGCTCCATTATGCTTAATACTATTCATGTTTTCTTAATGATAGTTATTTTAAATCACCAGTATGTTTATTTCACTTGATTAACCTACACTGAATGACCAGCAAGGTGCCAATCTCATCCAAAGACTTCATACATCCAAATACGATTGTAACTAAAAAAACAAATGTAGAGTCAAGCAGTGAAAATGTAGCACAGATTATTGCTTTACGTAATGAAAACCCAATAGTGTAATGCCAAAATGTTAATATTTCAAAGAGGACAGTTCCAAGAAAAGTAAAGCATTTTTGTTAAAGGTAGGAGTTTTAAAGTGTAATTAGGGAAAGAGAGATTAAGAAACACCATCCAAATATGAAGATAATGTCATTCAAAGAGTTTCATCATTGATTCAAAACTTCCCCAGAAACGAATACCAAAACAAGGGTATTTGTGGATTCGTAATCAGTAATAAAACTGCTTGAAGATAGTTTCAAGAAAATGGGGTATTTGAAAAATTTGCAACGAAAAAGCCTTATATATTTTACATTTCGACATAGTCAAGCATATAAGCTTTATAAAGGATTGCAAAGATGGAGATAACAAGTTGTAAAATATGATATGGACTGACAAAACAAAAATTGAGCTTTTTAGAAACTCGTAAAGAGAGTTTTTGTACATGGGCATGACCATGAAAAGTTTAAGCAAAAATTTGACTTAAAAACAGTGAAATGTCGTTATAGCTCTGTAATGGTGAAGAGATGTTTTTCAGTTGGAGGAGTGGAATGGTTCTATAATTAATAATTTTATAAAGAAGGAATAGTATCGTAACACTCTGGTTTGTCATGCAATACACAGTGGACAACTTTTAATTGACCTACATTGAATTTCAGTAGGATAATAATTTAAATATTACTGTCTTGCTGGGTAAAAAATCCTTTAAGAATAAGAAAAGTGCTGGTGATTAAAAAATGTTTAAATGATGAGCCATATTTGTTATGATGATCAAATTGAAAGTTTGTGGAATCAGTTAATATCCAATCCTTGACAACTTTGAAAAATAACATTGGCATTGTCCTTGTCTTTTCAGTGTAGTCAGATATAATTAAGACTTGAGGAGGAACTATTTTTAAATTTAACTTCCAGATGATAATTCTGTATTCCTAATGTTGCAATATTAAACATAACAGGTAAAAGAAAAAATAAATAAATTGTGCAACCTTTCATGAAAACTTGATTGTTGATACCTAGGACTTGCAGAAATCTAGTTGAAAATAATCTTTGAAACTGTTACCAATAACTGCAAAGTCTACACTATAAATTTAATCATTACACAGGAAATAGTTTCAATAAATAAAGTGTCAGTTTGAAGTTAATGAAGATGGGTGGAAAGTTCTCAGATAGCATAATTTTAACTTCCAGTAAAATGTTTCAAATGGTGTTCATAATCAGTTGTTTTACTTTGTTTAAGCCAATTTGTCTAAATTGTAAGTTAAAAGGTACTTCAATTTTGTGGAGATTTTAATAAAAATGTATTTAGTTATTGCTGTTTGTCTCTCTAAATTCAGGGAAGATGTGGCTGAAAGCATTGGAAAAACAACAGATGGTAAGGAGAAAATTATTTTTAACCATTTTTACTACATGCTGTAGTTGATTTTTTGTGCTCACAGCTAAGATTATTTTCCCAGATTCATTAAAAAAATATGTATTCTAGAATAAGAGTTATTTATCTTTTTATTTTCCTCTTAGAGAGCAAGTTTTTTTTGTTCAATTCCACTTTATGTTATTTTGCTCTAGACTTTTTTATTAGAATGTTTTTACTTTTTTGTTTACAAAGTAAAATAGAAGATGGGATTTTTATTGGTTTTCTGATGTGATTTGTTATTTTGTTCAGCTTTCTACCCTTCTTATGGACCTTATTCCATGTCATCATTTTGTCTATTAAGTTATCATACTTAAATAATGTTGAAGACACAAATGCTAAGTTTATTTTGGAGATAAAATTCCAATTCATAATATTAAAAGAAGTGAATTTTGTTTCTTGTATCCACAGAAGTAAGTGAACATTACAACAACTTGTTTGTTTATGGAAACATAGGAAGAGGTAAGATTGTTATTGTTATTTAAACTGTTTTGCTTAAATCATTGAAATTTTAATGACTTAAAAATTAACTGTTGTTAGTAATTTGTAATTTTCCCTACTCATTTTGAAATATATATAAAAAAAATATATACATTTTGAATGTAAATCACTAAAACCTGGTGACATGCACAGTAAAGGGTGCCTGTTGGGATACGGTTAAACCCTTAACACTTACAGAAATATTCATTTTGTAAATGCTACAATTTCTGTTGTAGTGATTGTATTATTCAGATATTTGTGAACAAAAGTGGCTTATGCAAAGTATCACACAAATGTATAAATGTACATAATTAAAGTTTAAGAAATACAAATTTGTGTTGATTAATCCTTTGTATTTGTGTTGAATGATATGTTAGCTATGAAGCTGTACTACTTTCAAAGTTTAATGAACTTGTACATCTAGGATCAAAGTTTAAACAAAAGATGGCACTCTTCAGAGTAGTGTATTTAAATAACCTCATCTGTACTGTTTTCATTTATTGTTCATGCTTAAAGATGATAAAGCACATATGTCTTCATTTTGTGAAATGACTCAGCCATCATCTGCTAGACTAGTGATTTATCTACAACGAAAGAAACCAACCAGCACTCCCTTCAGTGCTGCTAGTTAACTAACATTTATGATGCTGATACTACCTTCTGTCAGATAGTATCAGTCTGACATGTCTTTTGCTTGAGCATTCTGGGCATAAAATAAGAATAAGAAGTTGTATAATTTACCTTTGTTGTCAAACTAAATGTGACATATTGACATCTAAGGTTGTACTTAAAATAGTGTAATTTTTAAAATATGCCTTCCAAGGAAACAAAATGAGAGAAAAGGAGAAAATCTTATGTTGATAACCTTGAGAAGTCTTTGTCCCAGTGAAGAAAATATTACTGCAAGAATAGAAATAAGGTTAGAAACAGTAATGCTGAAAATGCCTTGGCTGTTAATCCAGCAAAAGAAAAGGCTGCCACCTTGGCTAGATGGAAGAAAACTATTCTAAAGATATCAGTAAAAGCCAGAAAATGTTGAGAGATAGCTTTAAGAAAAGCTACAAGAAGGATAGACCTAGAGTATAGTCACTCTTGAGACTTAGTACCAAAAAAAAAGAGCTATGAGACGAGTGTAAATAATGTTTAAATATAAAATTAGAAAGTAGGAATGGGAGCACCAAAAAGTAAGGAAACTAAGTAAAAATGAGCGGGATACCATTACAACACTTGGTAGTTTTTGACACGGTGGAACTTTAAAGTGGATGTGGCCATCATTCCTCCCATTTCTACTTTGTGTTTTACTTTGAACTTAGACCCAATTATAGACATGAATTGAATTTTATCAGTAGCTAATCCTTTCTAAATACTCAACACGTTTCAAAATATCAAAAATCAGTAGTTTTGATACTGTTCTTTTGGCCCATTCCTTACCAGTCAGATAGCTATAATGTCTCCCATAAGTAAAGTATGACTTTTGGAGCTTCCTGTGTCACTTCTGACATCAAACACCCTTCTTATGATGTCATGCATTTCATTAGGGCCACATAATTTGCCAACATACATGTACCTGTACTGGGTTACTGAAACAAATTTTACAACAGAGAAATTTAGCTATATACACCTTTCATTTAGTTTGAACAATTACCAAGTTACAAAAAGCACACAAAGTAAGAATGGGTGGAATGATGGCTACATCCACTTTGAGGTTGCACCGTGTCAAAAGCCAACAAGTTTTGGAATGTTATCCTGACCATTCCTAGTTCCTAAGTTTGTATTACTCAAAATCAAAATTTCAGTATTTCAAATACTCATTTTATGGCATTACAGAGAATAATTTTGCAAATAATGACATTTATTTCAATATAAAGTGTCCTATTAGTAAACCAGAACATCAGTAACTTATGGGCTGGATTAATGGATAATCGAATATTAAGTTGTTGCATAGAATAATTTCATTTTCTCTGTTTTGGGCCATATAATTATTTATTATTTTGATATAGTAAAGTTTAGTGTCATCCAGTAAATGTCTAAATGTGGCCTAATATACTCAGTAGGTCTGCAAACCAATGTGAATATCACTGGTGCCACGTAATCATCAGAATTTATTTAAGAACAATAGTTTTAAGAATCTGTAAGCTATAAAGCTGTTTAATTTTTGGCTATGTTTTAGCAAATACGTATTCATGGTTATTATTTAGTGGTTTTTACAGAGCATTAAGATGCCGCTATACATTTTCATAGATTAGTTTTGTTGATCAGTATAGTTATCTTTCAGTATCAGCATTATCAATGATATGCATTTTCTAAACTGATCAACTTACATAACCACACACACTTATATAAACAATAAAGTACACATGACAGATGAATCATTTGCTCTTACACTAGTATGCTGCATATCTATGTGTGTAAAGAACTATGATTTTTTTGACCAAATCACCTTAGAACAGTTATCTATAAACTCACACAAATGTATTACCTTTGTGGTTTCATAAAATATGTTAGTGTTCTTTAGAAAAATATACTGCTCTATGTTGCTGAAGTTGAAAATATTATTTTGTGATTTTGGATGAATTCTTTTGTGTTATTAGTATAGTCCAACATTCATGGTATTCTTCCATTTGTATTTGTATACGTTCTTCACATAACTGGGGAAAAAAGAAAAAACTTCCAAGTTGGATTTTATCACATTTCCCACCATTATATTTTTATTTTGTGGCCAAAATAATGCCCTTCACACAAATACTTGTTCTACGAACCTTGTAAAATTACATCTTAGTTTTTTTCAGTTAAACACAAGATGACTGTAGCTTTTAGTATTGAAAATACCTTTTTAGAATTATTTGTGTGTAATTTTGAAATTATATCAGGGATTATGTTTTTATATTAGTACTTAATTTTTTCTCAAAAAAGCTCAAACACACCAGTTAGATAAAATTTGTGATACCCTCTTTTAAGTTTAATGAAATGTAATAAATAACTTTGGATTTGGATTTAGTTATGTTCATATACTTTACTAAAATTACTTGTTACTTTTACAAACTAACTGTATGATAATGTGTTGTGTTTATTATAGCAACATGGTTATCAAGGAGTGCTCACCGAGTTCAAGACCACACTTGTCCAGAAAATGGTGAGTTGTTCTCTTATATAATTAAGTTGAATAATCACCATATTATGTTAATTAAATTATGTTAACACTTTCCATATGGGATCAGTCAGTATGACCGACCTTGTAACCACAAAGTAACCATCAGAGTTTCTATACTATAACATTTAATGTCTTTTGTGTATCTTCACAAAATTTGGCAAGCTTTCAGTAAATATTACAATTCTTTTGTACGGACAAACTAGGTTTTTTATATAAAATTGTTTTACTAAAGATTTCTCTGTGAATATATAGATTCAGTGTGTTGACTGCTCCAAGTGCTAAGTGATTTCCATGTTAAGATTAAAAATACTTTTCTTCATCTGGAAATTTTCAAATGTTTTCATGGTTTTTAGTTTCAAGAAATTGTTTAATGTGGTATGCAGGTACTTATCAACAGAATTGTTGCTGTATTAAACAAGGGAATTACCTTTAACTTCAACCAAGTTAGAATAAGTAAGACTTAACTTGTTAATTAGCTAGGTATCAGAGTTATAGTTTACCCATAGTAACTGGCTGGAAGTTTATCACCAGTAAATATGAGATTAATTAGTATTTTTGACAGTGGTTTTTAATATGTATTTTATTTTAATTTTTACCTTTTATAAACCCTATTTTACTGTTACAGGTCCTTTATCTCCTAGCCTCACAACACCGCTACCTCCATTAGAATTATCTTCACAAGAACAACAAGAACTGGGATACATGCCTGATAGAGATGATTTTGAAAGGGTGTGTAAGAATATTTATATAAATTTATGCGTGTATAGTTTAATAAATAAAATTTTTTAATACTTTGAATTAATAATAAAAACCATGATATGTGGCATATTTCAGGGTAATTACTTCATAAATTGTATGAGTATATTTAACCAAAATATAAATATCTTTAAAAATTATGTCCTCAAGTGAACTTCATAGATACATAATCTATATGTATATAATATTTGCCGTTAACTCTGTCCTTATGGGATTGGTCAATTCTCTCAAGTCTGTGACTCCAAATTGACCTTTAGGATTTTCACACAATAAGTTCCAATATGTTTTGTGCATCTTCACAAAATTTAGCATGCTTTTAGTAAACATTACAAGTCTTTCAGAGACAAAAAATAAAGTTTACTTCATCGTATCGAATTATGTAATGCACAAGCTACTCGGGAGCATACTTTGTGAATAATTTTTACTATTATAATTTTTCATTATTTTACCTAATCTAACCTAATAATGAATGTTGATAAAACTAAGCCTACTACTACTACTCTAAGAATTTTTTTATTTAATTAACTCTTGCTACAAGCAGGTCCAAGTTCTTATGTCATAACTTTTTAGAGTTATATTCAGAATTTAATTAAACAACTTTATTACCATGGTATGCAAATAAACTTGGCATCAAAACATATTTATTAAATTAAAATTTAATATGTAAGTTTTAAGTTCTTAATTCTCTCACTACAGGCTTGATCCCATGGACTGACCTCATAACCATTTTGTGTTTGTTATAGTTTTCATACTATAAATTTTAATACAGTAAACATATCTTCACAAAATTTTGCAGGTTATTAGTAAACAGTACAAGGCTTTTGTATACAAAATATCAGATTTTGTTATCAAATTTAAGATTTTTTAAATAATGATTTGCTCATGCATTTTTTCTTTTCAAATGTTTATTGTCCAACATGCAGAGTAATTTTGATTTTAAGATTAAAAATACTTCTATGCATCAGAAAATAGTCAAATTTTACATGCAAAATTTTTATAACCTCCAGATAATTATCAAACGTTTTTGTTCAGAAAAAAAAAATTGTGTTTTATCTGTTATTTTCATTATTATATCTTTGTATGGGTTTGGTCTATTTCACCAATCTTGTATCCACCATAGAAATTTAGGAAATAGATATAAATTATGCTTTTTTGTTCTAGAATGACTAGAAGTTATAACAAGAAACCACAAATGTTTAGTCTAAATAGCATAAATCTCACAAAATTATACATCTAAATATATTTATTATTTTTATTTTATTGACTTTCAGCCATGTCTGACTAACATTAAAGAAGTTGCAATGATGCAGCACACATGTACTCATGTCACCATATCAGATAGTATAAAAATGGCCTTTACAAAAAAGTGACCTGTTTTGGCATTGTTTTAGTTGCATATGTATATATATATATTATTTTTCTTAAAACATAGAAGAGTAAATAAAGAAGTATGGAAAACAACGATCTTTTCTACTTAGTAACTTTTTATTCATTTCACGCTTCTTGTAATTTGCTATGCCTTGTGAAATTTCGCATGTAAAGGACATAAAACAAAATAATTTTTTTAGGTTTTATATGTGCATTTTGAAATAACAAAAATCATAAATAACTAGATTAATATCTTGGAAATCCACTACAAATTATCAGGCTTAGTAACTAAGCTATATTTGGGTTTAAAAAATATTATATTTCGAACAACATTTTCACTTACCCTTTACTTCCACGTTAAGGCACAAAAATAATATTGGGAACTTTCCAACTCCAAGAGCCTAAAGAAACCACGTGGGGGAAATTCTGAGCTTTTGATTGGTTATAAAGTCGTGAGAGAGTGAAGCGAGTGTACATAAGGAAGTATTTCCAAAATTGGAAGAAGTAGGTGGGGCCTCTTTGTTTGATTCACAAAATATAGTGATATCTCAGCAAATAGAAAAGATAGGTGGTTCTTATTTTATATTCTAGTGTGTCAATATCAATAATTTTAGTTTCTAATTTGTAAGAAATTATAGACTTTGTATTTGGACATCACAAACATCTAATTTGAACCGAAGCTGTATTCAACATACCACGTGACACACAAAAATTGATATTTAGGAATTTTGTTTTAATATTTACTTTTAATTAACTAGTATTAACTAAAGTATAATACTAAAACTACAAATCTACAATTTGATACCAAACATATTCACATACATTCATGAAATAGTAGTTCAATAAAATTTTGAATGGAAGTCTGCAAATGTGACCCATGACCATAGGAAGACCCTTCTTGGTAGGGTTAAAGAGCTTGACAAAGCAAAAACAAAGGATCAGAAGTAAAACTGTCAAGAGGACACACAATACTTTTTTACAGTTTATCTGATGAATAACACTTAACCCCTTTTTATTTAAACTATTTCTATCAAATAACAACAAAAGTACAAGACATGTAACCTGGCAGTATATAAATAGTTGCTTGACTACAGCAATTAGAACACACGCTTATCATACAAAAGTAATAGCTAGATTTACTTACTAATTTTTCTCTGGCAGAAAGAAGCTTATAGTTTGGTAGTGTTGAAATGTTAACGTGTTTAATTTCTTCCTTTAAAACTGTTTCTTCTAAAACAGCAGAAAAAATGCTCTGTTAGATCTATACAACCCATCATTACAACATACATTCACAAGTTAAAACTCCAAATCAATAATAATGTACTTTACATTTTTAAGATTCTGGTCAGTCAGAAACCCACCCAAAGTTACAGTTTTTTATCGGAAAAAAAATTAAAATTTCAGAATCATTTTTTGCACAGAAAAGTACCATAAAAGCCAGATAACACTGCAGTATGTAAAAAATTCGGCTGTTTCGAAATCAGTTTTCCATGTTTGTGCAGCGCAAGTATGACAAAAGTTATGAGAAGGCCAGAACTATGTGAAGAACATAAATACAAAAAGAAAAGATGCTACAAAAGCTGTGAAATGTGTCTACATTGTGAATCTCCAGCTATATGTAAAGTAAAACATTGCCATGTTATCCCCCAAAGTAGACATGGAGTAGTGCAAAAGATCCAAAAGCCAGTATATAAGAGAAAAAATAGGCAGAGCAAGGTGTTCTTATGGAAATGTGTGTTGAAGAGAGTGTTTCGTTACAAGATTTGGACATTGAGGTTGAAGGTGTACTAGAAGAAAACTAGGAACATGTTTATTCTCACTAATTATGCATTGAAATTGATTAATAACATCATTGGAATTTAAAATAACTCTAATATTTGCTAAAATCAAAGCATTCCAAATCTTACCTTTGATTTTCTGAAAGCTGCTCTCAACTTTTTAGACCATTCCACAGTTATTGCACACCTTCCCAGTTTATTTTTGTTACTTTTTAAAAGAGTGTGCAGAGCAGTCCCAAGGGTGGATTTCTCGCTGACTGGGATCTTAAACACTTTTACTTACTGTTTGAATAATACACACTGAATTTTTATAAGATAATTAACTTAATTTACAATGCTGTTTACACATGCGCAACAGTGCTTTAGAAGACTGATAACTCTTTTTCAGCACAGTATGGAGACAAATAACCATAGAAAGACCCATTGTGAGAGGGTTAATTTATCATCCTTCCAAGAAGTACAGAATTTAATGTAAATTACTCATTATTAACATAATTATTACTCAAGCAAAGAATAATTTTTATAGCCTTCAATCTTATTTGTTTGCTGAGCCATAAACTAGGGAATCAGACCCACTTGCCACACCCACCTGTCACGTCCTATCTTTCACAAATTGCCAATATTTCTCTTTGGCATTTAATACTCTATTATTTATAACTAATAGAAAGCCAAAGTTTAATCTACCAAATGACGTATTAGATTGTTTTTTTCTGTACAGAAAATAGTCTATTTCACTTCCAGTTCAAATTTTATTCCCATGGGAAATGCTTTAAGGAGCTTAGCTGAATTTTTAATGGCTTTTATCGCATAATTAGAAAGCCAGAAAAAGTATGATAGTTATAGGACATTGTCTGTTTTTTATGTGTTGTTATTCTGAGTTCTTAAGTGCATTAGTTAATTAAATAAAGAATTATATAGTGTATTAGTACCATTAGTTTAAAAAGGTAGGGTTAGGGGTCGTCTACACCAACAAAAAACCCAGGTAAGTGCTATTTTTTTGTGTTTTATGTTTATTCCTTATTTATTATTATAAAAGTAACTAAAATGTATAAATTAGAAAATTACTAGGTTAGATTAAGTAAGATAAAGAAAATTAATAATAAATTTTTCACAGGGTACACTTGCGAGTATCTCGGGTGTTATGTAATTTGTGAGGATAATGTGAGCTACAAATTTGCGAAGTGGTTTGCAACTTCTTTGATGGGATTGTTAGTTAGACATGGTTCAAAGGGCAATAAAATAGAAATACATGTATACTTTTATGAGCTTTAAGCTGTTTAGGATTTAAAAAATGTAGTTTCCTCTTACAATTTCTAGAAAGAAAGAAAAGGGTAATTTAGGTTTTTTATGGTGGTTACAAGGTTAGTCAAATTGACCAAATGCATATAGAGTTAGGGTAGAGAAAACAGCAGGTAAGATATTTTATTGACAAAAAAACATCTAACATTTATTTAAGAAGTTTTAGAGATTGTGCAAATGAAATCTGACATCTATAAGATTAAGAAAAGTATTTTTAATCTTAACATGAAAATCACTTTGCATTCAGAGCACTAAACACTTTTATTCCATAAATTCATGAAGAAAAATTTTAGTTAAAATTCTGATTTTTTTGTTTACAAAAGTCTTGTAATATTTACTGCAAAATTTCATAAAGATGCACAAAACATATTAGAAGTTATAGTATGGAAACTCTAAAGGTCGATTGTGGAGTCACAAACTCAAGCAAATTTACTAAGCCCATAGCGAGAGAGTTATTTAATATATCTTAGAACACTGAATAATAACATGAAAACAAACATGTCCTAGAACTATCATAATTTTTCTGACTTTGTAACTATGTGATAAGAACCTTTAAAGAAAGCTTGTCAATGTGGCTTTTGTGAAAAAAAATTTAAACTGAACCAGGAAATAGACAATCTCTGTACAGAAAACAATGTAATATAATATGTCATTTGACAGACTAAAATCTTGATTTTCTGCTGATTATAAATAAAATAGTATAAAATGTCAAGAGAACTATTGGTAAATTGTGAAAGACAAATGTGACAGGTGGGTGTGGAATTTGGGTCTGCTTTTCTAGTTTATATCTCTGTAAACAAATCAGACTGAAGGCTATAAACATTGTGGTCTGTTTGAGCAATAATGATTTTAAAGAGAGCATTTTAGGTTTAATTTTGTACATTTTCGAGGGGTGATGGATAAAATAAGGATGATGACATGCTAAGACAAAATGTGTCGTGTGTTACACCAGTGGAAATTCAGGATTTTTTTGTATATTTCCTTTTAGAATTAAGAACTTAAAACTTTTATAATATTAAAATATGGATTATTAGCTAAGATTTTATGCTATTCTAATTGGTATAACATAAACAAAAAGTAGTTTAATAAACTTTTGAATGTAGACACTAAAACCTTGTGTCATGCGCAGTAAAGGGTACCCGGAACAATAGGGTTAAAAAGGACCAGAATGAAATGTACATCTACATGTGTTCTTGAATAATATATCACAAGAATGATGAAAACATCTTTTACAAAAGTTTTGAGACCCTTAACTTTTTAAAAAGAAACTGTTCATGGATTTTTTTTAAATTGTGCTGCCCCCCCCCCTTTCCCAACAAAAAAAAAAGAATATATGAAATGTTATTGAAATCTACAAAAATAATGAAGACATCTGTATGTGGCTAAATAATATAAGATATTTTCAAAAATCTCAGTGTCTAATGCAACATAAAAATAGCTTGAAGCAGTACTAGAAAATGTGATTTTTTGAGAAAAAAAGACTATTAATACAGAAAACTTTATTTAAGTCAATGTTTCACTGTATATTATGGCAAGACCTGATTAAGCTGTAATGGTGAAAAATGAACTTAAATAAAAGTAGTTATGTTTTCTTGAGTAATAATTCATGTCTTATTATATATTTACTTATTTCTTATATTTTATTAGAAATGTATTTGTAGTTAAGAAGAACTAGTTTTTTTTAAGACCAGTTTAATATCTTTTATTACTGACTCTCAGCCAGTAAAAAATAACTATAACAGAAATGTAAAGTAGAGCTATTTAACATTAAAAAGGTATTCTGATTTCAGAAGATTATGCCTCATAACTATTTTTATAAATCGCAAGGTAAGTCCTAGCCATTTTTTCCTCACCACACACTCCCTAACATTATTTTAATAATATCAAAAAGACAAAAAATTCACACAGGGTAATTATCATGATCAAGTCAACATTAAAGATTTGTATTTTTTGTTATAAGTTTTAGTTTTTGGTGGAATCAATTTTTTTATAAATGAGTTTTCTTTGCTTGTTTTTTACAGGAATATGATAATGATGCAGAATCGGTAACCTGTAATCTCAGTATTCACAATGATGATGAAGACGTTGATATAGGTAAACACTTGACTCGGTTATTTCATATATATGTGAAACATTAAACTTAATCTATCACTTTTCATCTTTTCAGTAGCCACTTGTATCATATTTTTAATGTTGTGAGACTTGACTTGTGTATTTTCACATAGTAATTTTCATACAACCTTATGCTGTGAATAAAGAGAGATAAAAAATATATATATATATATATATATATATATAAGAACAAAATATGTTAAATTAAACATAAAATGAGACCACAGTTGTAGTTTTTAGAATCTTACGTTGTTAAATGAATTTTTTTTTCAAACATCACGAAGGATACTGCATTTTAATGATATGCTGGACTTTCCTACAATGAAATCACAAAGGAAGTTGTGTTTAAGTCTTATCTCTATAACTTGTATTACAAACACATGGCAGTTTTTTTTCCATAACTCTTACTATGGATTTGGCTGAGTTCATAACCCTAAATTGATCTTTATACTTTCCATACAACAACTAAATGATAAAACTTTATATTTTATCCATTATTTTCTTTATTCTAATTCTGTACAAGGCTGGTCAATTGGACCAACCTTGTAATGACCAAAAATAATTAGAAATAAATCTAAATTACACTTTTTTTTCTTTCCAGAATGACTTCAAATTGTAATATGAAACAACATTTGTTTATCTTATATAGCTTTAAACTTGTGAAACATACATCTGTTTATACTTAAATTTTATTGTTTTACTGCCCTTTGAACCTTGTCTAACTGATATTCCTGCCACAGAAGTTGTAAACCACTATCGAATTAAACAACATGCAGGCTACTTACGAGCTGCACGCTAGCATATCTCATGAAAAATGTTATTATTCTTCTTTATTTTACTTTATCAAGCCTAAATGTTTCAGTTACTTTTTTCTTTTGCTGCTGATTGTCAATGAAACTTAACCCTACTTTTATTTAAATTAATGGTACTACTGCACAACATAATTTGTTATTTAATTAGATAATGCGCCAAATAACACAGAATAGTAACACGAAAAAAGCAGACAATGTCCAATAACTATTACAAATTTTCTAACTATGTGACAAGAGTGGGGAAAAATTCAGCTAAGCTCATCGATGTGTTTCCCATGGGAATATAGTTTGAACTGGAAGCGAAATAAATAATTCTCCGTAAAAGACAACTTAATATAATATGTCATTTAACTGATTAAAACCTTGGCTTCTATTGATTATAAATAATATAGTATTAAACATCATAGATAACTATTGGCAATTTCTGAAAGAGAGGATGTGATAGATGGGCATGGCAAATGGGTCTGATTTTCTAGTTTATGGCTCCATAAATGAATAAGATTGAAGGCTATAAAAATTGTACTTTGCCTGAGTAATACTAAATTATAATGAGTTATTTACATTAAATTCTGTACTTCTTTGAAAGGTGACAAATAAATTAGAGAAGAGGGAAGACCTAGAGAGCAAATTTCATAATTCTCACACTGGGGAAAATTGAGGATTGTTTTTTAATATTGCCTTATAACATTAAGACCTTAAAACTTGTATAATGTTAAAATTTGGATTATTAGCAATGTTTTGATGCCAAGTTTATTTATATAACATGTTAAGGATGTAGCTTAATTAAATTTTGAATGTGGTTCACTAAAACCTTGTGACATGCACAAAATGATGCCCATTCCGAAAGAGTTAATGAACCAAGTTTTGTATTTTTGGAGGACAATTTATCTATAGATAAATAAAAATCAGTGTGAATAGGAGCAACTTCCATTTGGTTGCTGGCATGTGAGTCGCCCACTGTTGTTGAAATCACATACTCAAGTGTCATCAATAATATAAAGTATTTTCTCATTATTCTCTTCAATTATTAGGGCATAATATATGCCTTTGTTGTTTTTTTTCCAGCTGCATTATTATGAGAAGTGTGAGGTAACTTATAAAATTATGTCAATTTTATCAGTGAGAGCAAGCTTCCAACCTGCTCTTAAGCAGTACCTAAGAAACTCAGCTTAAAAGCCTCAAAATAACTAATGTTTTGCCTAATAAATCAAAACATGAAATTAAAATCATTGGACAAGGGTATTTTTGCTTCTTTTTTTATTTTCCTTTTTTTAATAATCAAAATGATTTATTGGTGTGTTACTAAAATGTATTAATTTGGAGTACTGCATTCTTATACTCATAGAGCTAGTTGCCTCTTAGTTCATCTTCTATTTATTTCCTGCATGGCTAGAACAGCAGCTGCTTACAAAAAGGGTTATTGTTGCAAAGTAAATAAAAACTATTTTTCCAGGTGGCTTGCAGGAAGAGAAACAGTACTCTTATAAAGAGTCAAGTTGAATAGTAAGCAGCAGTACAATGTCAGAAAAATAATAGGCAATTTGCATTGGATTTTCTGAGGGCACGTGACAAAGGCCCAATAAATCTGCTAAACACATCTGATTTCATCACTTCATAGAAGAAAGAATTTGGGACAGCTATGTAAAATAGAAGAACATAATAAGACAAAATGATTTAAATTTAGTCTCTGTAGATTCATAAATTTGATAATTAACAAAGTTCGTTCTTTAGAATTTAAAGTCCCTTTTTTATATTTTCTTTTGAAAATGTTAACACTTTTTTGCTATTTCAGCTAGACAAGTAAACACTGCTGATATAGTGGAGAAAGGACAGAAGTTGTTTAGTTTTTGTTGTTTTTTTGGAAAGCTTCATCTCTGACATAAATTATCTGAATTTTGGAGCTTCACATGTGGGGGGGATAAAATCTGACAATTTTTTAATGTTTATTTTTTAATTTTAACTGTGTGGTTTAGATAAATTAAAAATTTAAAGGTTGTTTCTATATATATATATTTGAATTTGAATTCAATGGGGCAATAAATATGACATTTTCAAACAGCAGTGTCGAAGCCTGTGCTGATAATGTTGAAATTAGCATGGATGGTAAGGCTTAAGATACAGGTGTCCCTTGATTTACAAATGTTTGGTTTATGTTTTTTGCTATAATGTAATTAATTTATGAGCATATTTTTCAATTTGCATTTGCATTTTTTGATATTTGCTATAATGAAGACTTAAGTAAATATTGTAAGAAAATTTTGCCCATTACAAAACAATTTTTCACTATTACAAAATTCAAATAGCTAAAAAGTTATTTTTCTCTTATAATATTGAATAGTTACTAAGCTATTTTTCACTACTACATAATTCAAACAGCAATATAATTTTTAATGTCAGCAATATCAAGTTCAGTAGAATGCAATGGGTGAAATTTCAAACAGCATGTCACTCCTTCATTGAGCTGCATCACAAAATCCTCTGCTGCAAAATCTCTCTATGCAAGCATCTTGCACAGTGTCTGAGTAGCAGTTAGCCTTTTCTTGTGTCTAACATTGGGAAGTGATTTGTGTTTTTTATCAGTCATAATTTACCTCAACCCTCAAGATGTCTGGTAAGAGACATTTCTTAAACTCAACTACTACCCCAGCTAAACCTTCTCACCAGGCAATAATGCTGGATACAAAAATGGACATAATAAAATGTAACGGTATTTTTCTTACATTACAGTGGAAGAAAATGTTATGTTATTGTGGCCAAAAAGTTTGTTTGGGAATGGATCTCCTATTTTCACCTTTAAAATAATGGGAAATTGTTTTTGAATTATGTATTTTTGTTATACGTTATGTTCTTCAAGAATGCATCCATTTTGGAAATCGAGGGATACCTGTAAGTGTTTCTAAATAGTAACATAAAGTTTTATAAAATGATAGTACTTGGTAGCATGAAGTATAACCTGCATTCTAAATCAGCAGAACAAATAATACTTTACTTATATTGTATTTTATATGTATGTAGATGTACAACATTAACCACCAAGTTGTCTAAGTTTAGTATGTGCATTTTTCAGTTCAAAAATAAAACTGTAATTTCAATTTGTGAAAATATACTCCAAGTTTTAGTAGAAGTGTGCTTCCATTCATGTAAAATGTTCACATGTTCTGCTACTTTTAAAATGAAAGTTAAGTTTTCATTCTGGATATGTCTGACAAGCTTTAACCACAGTATTATTCCTCACATTTATGATACTTAAATATATGTGTTCTTTCATTTCTGTCTGGAAAATAATAGGAATGTTAGGTACTTTTATATATGACTAGAGCTGGATGATTAGTGGAATTTGCTAATTAATTGTGCTCATTAATCGATTATTCTTATATGACACTAATTTTTCTATTTTCAGCTTGTTCTAGGTTTTTTAAAGACTTCCTTTGTTTAATATGATGAACATCTTCAAGTACAACAACTTAGGTGGGTGCTGCTAGCTGGCTTTATTTTTCCTCTAATGAGCAATTCAAGAAGAAAAATAATAATTTCAAAAAGTTGCCAGTGGGTGTTGCAAGACAGTTATCTTTCCTCTAGTTAGTTGTTCAAAAATAACTAAAGAAAAAAACTACAAATAAAAAAATGTTGCTGGTGATTGCTAACAACTGGTTCCTTTCCTTCAAGCCAGCAATTCAAAATTAGTGACAGTGGCACATAATCATAGTAACTTTGTCATAGCAAAGACAGGGCAAGCAAGTTTGGTAGCAATGAAAATCAAACTGATAACCCTCAAATTAGAAGTCCCCCTCCCCAAATCACCAAAGCTGAACAAGCTTAAAGTAAAAAAAAAATTGTAAAGTTTAAATCAAGCAGAGCAGAGGCAGTCCATTATCTAACTTTGTGGTTAAAAACAACAATCAAACATGATAGCAATATTTCACTTACTTGAATAGTTGGAAACCCTACATTAAGTTAATTGATTGTTGGGATAATTGAAAGCAGAAGTAATCAAAACACAAATTTTGATAATCATAATTTTAGTGAATTGATTGGTTTACTTGACACTAATCTATGTAATTGCTGCTCATAGATATTCGATTAAGTTGTCCAGCTGTAATGTGTGATAAGTAACATAAAATTTGATGAAAATAAATTCATGCTAATTCATGCTAAAACTTGTGGTGATGCTCTTTGCAGAGATTATAATGATTAATAAAGTGGAAATGAAAGTATTATGAGACATTTTGAACCTAATTACATCATCAGTGTAAAAAACGTACAAAAATAATTATCAACTTTATAACGAATCTCAAAATTTTTTAAGAAAATAATTTGTTGGTATGAACAAAAGTTTAGAAAAACACATTATTGATAATCACATTAAATAAATTTACATTTTACACTACAGGAAGAAAGTGTAGAAACACTCGTGCTTCCTGAGAAATCAATAAATCAAACAACTTTAAAGCTTACTTTACTAAGTAGTGTTTAAGTGGCACTTAAGGACAGCCAGACAGACTTTTTTTTTTCCCTTTTCAGTGCTTCCAATATAGCTAAAGTTAGTCAGTTAACCCTACCATGAGGGTAGGTGTCATAGTGCATGTCATGTTTTGTAGACTTACATACAAAATTTTATTAAACTACTGTTTAATGAATGTATGTCCATAGATTTAGAATCAAATTTTTGTATTACACTTTATTTAATTTTTTAGTTCAAAAGTAAATATTAAAAATGAAATTGCTAAATATCAATTTTTTTGTTGCATGGTACATCGTCTTCTGCTTTTGCTCAAATTGTATTGTAAGCATCATAAAATATAAAGTCTACAGTTTTTAATGATTTAAAAACTCAAATTACCAATATTGACAAGTTATAATATAAGAACCTCTTACTTTTTTTATTTGCTGAGATATTATATTTAGTGAAACCACCTAAGTGGCTTTGCCCACCTCTTCCTCATTTGAAAATACTTGCTTACATATGCCCACTTCTCTTAAGTACATGTCTATAACCAACCAAAAGCACTCATTTTGAACTACATAATCCTTTTGGGCTTCCTAAAGTACTTATGTGGGTAAAACTGTTATAACCATTGGAGAGTTTAAAGAGTGGTGACCAAGATGATATGCTGATCAGAAATGAGATTTTGTAGACCCAAATACAGCTTAGTTAGGAAGCCTGTGGTATTGGTATAGCAATTTATAATTTTTTGTTATTTCAAAATCCATCTATTAAACTTACAAAAATTATTTTTTTACATTCTCCATGTGCAAAATTCTATGAGGCTTAGCAAACACAATGCACAAGTAACATCATAAGTAGTAGAGGTGATTGTTTTCTATATAATTTTTATTTACTGTTCTAGATTTTAAGAAAAATAACTGGAACTTAAGAATTTATTTGTAAATAGCAATAATATATATGTATGTAATGTATGGTAAACAAAATGTCACTGTATTTTACAAAATATTTGTACACTAGTACTAAGATTAAGAAGGGTAAGGCATTTGTACTTTGTAAAGGCCAGCTTTATGCTGTTTGATATGGTAGTGTGAGCTGCACATGCACCTCCTTATTTACAACTTGTTGACAGGATTATTAGTTAATCACGGTTCAAAGGTCAATAAAGCAAAAAAATTAATAAATATAAATAGAAGTATACTTTTACAAGATTTATTTCCTGATTTTTATAGTGGTTATGAGGTCAGTTAAATTGACCAACTGTCATATAGATATCAAAAACGTTTTATATTTATTTAGGAGGTTATAGAGACTACGCAACTGAAATTTGACAACTTGTTGATGAAGAAAAGAATTTTTAATCTTAAAATGTCTTTACAGGTTGGATAGTCATAATTCTGAAAGAAAAATTCATGGGCAAATCTTAATTAAAAATCATGATATTTTTTGTACGAAAGCCTTGTAATGTTTACTGATGCTCTATGAAATTTTGTGAAGATACACATTTATTATCAAAAGTAAACAACAACCATCACTGGCTAGTTATGTAACCAATGGCCATGCTCTCACTCTTGTGAGTTGTGTACAATCAGAATTTATGTATACTGTTGAACCCATTTGTACCAATAGAAGTAGTAATAGATAGCATCTTGATTACTTGGATAATTTAGTAGTTAGATACATAATTTTTGATTTATTGATTCATATCATGACATTAATCAGTTATCTCATAATTTTCATTAACACTTTTGCTGCAGACATCTTTTTCTGCACATGTCATAAGTGAGTTACATTCAAAAGTTAATTAAGCTAATTTCTATGGTATATGAATAAACTTGGCATAAAAACATGACTAATAATCCAAAGTTTAATATTTTACAAGTTTTAAGTTCTTGACTTTATAAGGCAATATTTAAAAATATTCTTGAATAGTATGAGAATTGTGACATTTGCTCTCTCGGTATCCCTTCTTCTCTGATTTATTTACCAGCCCTCTATGAAGTATGAATTTTAATGGAAATTACTCATTATAATGTTGTCATCACTCATTACTCATGTTGTCATTATTTTTATAGCTTTCAATCTTTGGTTACAGAGCCATAAAATAAATAAAAAAATCAGACAATCTTGCCATGCCTATCTGTCACATCTTCTCTTTCAGAAATTGTCAGTAGTTCTCTATGATGTTAAATACTATATTATTTAGGATCACTAGAAAGCCAGAGTTTTAATCTGTCAAATGATGTATTATATTCTTTTCTGTATAGACAACTGTCTGTTTCACTTCCAGTTCAAACTATTCCCATGGGAAACACACTGATGAGCTTAGCTGAACTTTTAACAGCTCTTGTTGCACAATTAGAAAGCCAGAAAAATTGAGTTAGTTATGGGATATTGTCTGAGTTTTGCATGTTATTATTCTGTGTTCTTTAGAACATTATTTTTATTAAAAATAAAATAAATTATTTAGTGCAGTAGTACAATTAGTAAAAAAAAAGAAGGGTTAAGTTTAATCAATAGTCAACAGCAAAAAATAAGTAGATGCAGGTAACTACTTTATTTCTTGTTTTTCATGTGTATTCTTTATTTATTATTATAAAAGTAACTAAAATGTCAAAACTAAGAACTCTTTAGGTTAGGTAAAATTAGATTAATAAAATAATAATAATTTTTCATGAGGTATGCTCACAAACAACTCTCAAATATACTGTACATTATGTAATTTGATAGGGTAATGTGAGCTATACATTTGCCAAAGATTTACAAGTTTTGTGGTGGGAATATTAGACACAGTTCAAAAAGCAGTAGAACAATAACATTTAAGTATAAACAGGTGTACACTGTTACAAGTTTAAAGCTATTTAGGATAAACAAATGTAATTTAATGTTACAATTTGAAGTAATTCTAGAAAAGAAAATGGGTAATTTACATTTATTTAGATTTTTTTTTTGTTATGAGGTTTGTCAAATTTAGAGGAGAAAAAATAATAAAATATAAAAGTTTTACTGAAAAAGATGTCTGAAATTTATTTACTGAGTTGTAGAGATTTTGAGATGAAGAAAAGTATTTTTAATCTTAACATGAAATTCACTTTGCACTCAGAAGCAATCAACACTTTGGCTCCATATATTCATAGAGAACTTTTTAGGGAAAATACTTCATTAAAAATTCTAATTTTGTTTTGTCTACAAATGACTTAATGATTACTGAAACCATGCAATATTTCATGAAGATACACAAAACATATTATAAATTATAATATGGAAACTATAATGATCAATTTGGGATTATGAACTCAGCCAATTTGACTGAGCTCATAATGAGAGGATTAATTGGTTAATTTATGTAAAACCAGTCGATGTAATCAATGTTCATAGGTAATCAATTATATTGATAAATTGAGTTAATCACTTAGCTCTACTTATGACCATCTTCATTGATAAATGTGAGTTTACAGTCAATCTCAGTAAGTACACAGTCCAGTACATTTAGCAAATTTTGTTAAGAATATATAAAAACAATTTGTGCCAATTAAAAACATAATTGTTAGTACTGAAAGATAAATTATTAACTAACAATACCAAGTCATTTATCATTAAAAATAGTTCTAATATATTTTATAACAAATGTTCTTCCTTTGAACTGCAAATAACTGATAATTGTCACATCTTTTGTATTCACCTTATTTAACAATGTGAAACTTAATATGATATTTTGAATTATAATTTTCCTGTTAAATTTTTTCTTTTATTCAAGATATGAAAGTAGAAACTTGTGAACTTTCACTGCATAATCTTTTTTTTTTAATATTTTTCCCATTTACAGCATTAAAATTAGCCCACATTGATATTTATTCAAGAAAATTAAAAGAACGTTTTCGGAGAAAAAAGATAGCCAGGGAATATGGCCTTGTCAGTCAGTTTTTCAACAGTTCAAGTTCCAATAAGCAAAAATCTGTGAACACTAAAAAATCAGCACGAGAAGACAAGTAAGTAAATGATGTTGAAATCTAAATATTGCACTTATTGCATCATTTAACTTGAGCTTAACAACTTGCTTTGCATACCCATCATGTTGATCTTTGTCTTTCTTAACATGAAAATAATTTGTGCTGACATAATTCATTAATGTAACTTATGATAAGTGCTAATATTATAAAACTTGAGTGTTTAAGCACATTTTGGCAAGTAGTTATTAATTTAAAATGTAATCCTGTGAAGATACTATGGTTTAAGTCTTCATGTGCCATGTTAAATCTCTTAGAAACTATTCATGAAAGTCAAATTTCTGTCAACTCGTAGTAAAACAGTTTTTTTGTTGTTCCTTATTACTATTAACTACTAAATCTATGAGACAGGTTATGTTTTGTGAATGTTAGTAAGGTCTGTCATTACCAGTTTTATTATTTTTTTGTATTGAATAGCAGTAGTATTAAAAAGTCTACAGTAAGCTGACAATGATTATGCTCTTATATTGTTCTTCTGGTTATCAAGATATGTATCCTCAAATGTAGAGTCTGATTGACTATTGACTTGACAGTTTTGTACTGTATGAAGCTTAAAATGGTCAGATATGAATTTTTATGAAAGTTGTTATGCTTTAGATGCCCAAGAATCTTATTTTCTACAATGGAGGATTTTTTGGAAGGTGCTGAGTACTCTTGAACTGAGCCTTCCAGTTGAAGATCCTACTTTTAACTAGTTGATCAGCTGGAAGCGAAGTGGCTGTTTCATGTTAATCTGCACATCTGACTTTCAGTATTTGTAATGTTTGTCTTAGGATGATACCCCACTGTGTTTAACAAATATTCAGACAGTACGATGTTGGTGAACTGAAGAGATTGAGATGTAGTGGATGAACCATGATTCTTTTGTTTTGCAGAGTTATGTTTCAGTAAGAATATCTAAATGATATGGATATTTTTACACCAGTCCTTCTATCATTAAAAATAAATAATGTGTTATTAACCCTTATTGTACTTTTGATTTGTAAATGACTTAGGTAAAATTACAGTTGTTTTTCATGCAAATGATGATGATAGAAATAGCACCTCGATCACTACTATGTCTGGCACATCTCATCTGTCCTGGGTAGCCCTGTTATTGGGCAAAAGTTCTCATCAGCTTTGAATATTGAATTTATAGTTGACATATTATTATATATTCTTCTTTGATTTCATTTACAAGTTCTTAGAATTATGGTCAGGTCTTATTTCATTGACATTATCAGAGTTTCTGTGTTCCAATAAAGCCTTGAAATTAGTCATATAATACGAGGAGTATTTTGAACCACACAACTTTACTTTGGAAAGGCCATTGCCCATCTATGGTAAGATATCTGAATGTATCATAAGATTCATAATTATTTGCATAAGGATCTTTTCTTCCCCTTGTTACTTTTCTGTGTCCAGTCCAATGTTGGGAAAATTTGTAACTCAGTTCAGCAGATCACCTAACCTATCATTGAGAGTCAACAATGCAGTGTGTATATATTGGCATTGTTAAATTTCATTGGTCAGTAACAAGTTTTAAAAAGAAAAATGGCATGTGTTGTTACCATATGCTCAAGTTTCTTTCATTTCTTTCCCATTTCACATCCTGACCATAGTAATATGTAAAATCAATCCTTATCAAATGTTAGTTTTTCATTTGTTGCATTAAACATTTGAATTGAGTATGCTAATTCATGTCACCCATTGTATGGCCCTGAACAGCTTGACTGTTGCTTCATGAATATGAATCATCTGATATTGTTGGTTATATACACGCATGAATCACAGGTTAACTGTTGCAAACAGCAACAGGCATGAGAAACGAAATTCTGGCAGTGATTGAAATATTACACTAAAGGGAGCAATACATGTTCAGCAAAATGGCTTGTACTTAAACTTTCAGCAATTTTATTTTTAATGTTTCAAGTGTTTCTCAAACAACTTATACAGTTGTTTCTTGCTTCTAAATCATTGGTCATATTGGCAAATTTGTGGAACATCTCCATATTGTCATAAAGTAAAATTCCAGTATCACAGACTACCACTGTATGAGCCTTCATCTCACCTGCTGTGATGCGCATCAATAGTTTCATAAAGGATGAGCATCTTTACATGTTCATCTCTGTTCAGATATGTTTTCACATAACTTCGATAAAAATGTTTGAGAATTTGCCTTCAGTAAACATGAATGAGTAATTCATTTTTTGTTCAGCATTGTTTCTGGAACCACCACCTCGTTAAACTACATAACTTTTGCACCTTTTCACTAATTTGTTTCTAGAAAATAAACCATTAAAATATATTATGATCATATTAAAATCTGGAACACAGTTTTTCACCAGCTGCTTCAATAAGTATGTGGAGTAGCAGGATAAATTATGGAACAAGACTTATTAGTATATCCTCTAGAAAATAGTGCCATCCTTTAGCTCTGTATTCTAGATAAGGAATCAGAATTTTTGTTGGATCACACAGTTATGTTAGGCAAGTGACAAATTCACATTTTTAAGTCCAAGTGGTTTTGCACATGCCAAAGAAGGTTGCACAGTTGAATTTTAGACATATCAACATGGATAGTGATTTTTTAACTTCCTTTTCAACTTTGACATAAGATTTTCTGAATGGAGACTGTCACTAAACGTCATTAATTAAGGAGACTGTGAAGAACTGCAAAATCTTGTTTTTCGTTAGTTTTGCTCTGATATTTTTTCGTCTACTTTAATTTACCTCCACTCTTTTCCCCCTCCCCCATTATAAATCTGGAATTTTTGAACTAAGCATTAAGGTTTTCCATAGCTTTTACTAATATTTGAGATGATAAATGACTGTTTATACATATATTCTATTGAATTTGAAGCATATCATTTTTGAAATTGTTGAAAAGTTTTTACCAACTCATCATTTTCAACAAATTATCTTGTGGTCACCAAAACTGTTGACATGACTGCCATAACCAGTTATTTTTTTTTCTGTAAAATCTAATTTTAAAGTCTCTAGAATCTCAAAATATATCCACAATTACTTTTTTTTCTGCAGTAATAAAGTTTACCTGGCTTATTGGATCTTTATTATGTTTATTCATTAAAAAAGTTTCTTGTGTACATGGATGCATTCTTTTTTTTATTAGGGATATGCAAGAAAAGATGAGAGTTTTTTGTCAGTTCCAAGCTTATTGGATCTTTATTATGTTTATTCATTAAAAAAGTTTCTTGTGTACATGGATGCATTCTTTTTTTTATTAGGGATATGCAAGAAAAGATGAGAGTTTTTTGTCAGTTCCAAGCTTATTGGATCTTTATTATGTTTATTCATTAAAAAAGTTTCTTGTGTACATGGATGCATTCTTTTTTTTATTAGGGATATGCAAGAAAAGATGAGAGTTTTTTGTCAGTTCCAAGCTTATTGGATCTTTATTATGTTTATTCATTAAAAAAGTTTCTTGTGTACATGGATGCATTCTTTTTTTTATTAGGGATATGCAAGAAAAGATGAGAGTTTTTTGTCAGTTCCAAGCTGCTGCAGAACAAGAACAGTTTTATCAAAACCTGCAGAGTAAGTAATCAATATTTCTGATTTTTTTTTTTTTTATTTTAGCTCTATTTAGTTACTGAATTTTTGTGTCAACAAAACTTTCAGAGTGCAGTTTATGTTGTCTACACACTGGAAGTGAATGAAAAAATGTATTAGATCAGATTATTATTTTATGAATAAGTTTTATAATCAGAGTTGCATACAATTTGACTTCTCTGTTTCTTTTACCTTCTTGGTACAGGTAGGTCAAAGTGTGCATGTTATACTGTTATCAATGTATATGGATAAACTTGCTGTCAAAGTTCAGTGGCATATAAGATTTTAAAAAGAAATTTTATAATAAATCCCCAATCTCCTCCTATATGAGAATCATACATTTGTTTGCATTGCCCATCCTTTATTTCTTCATCACCCCTGTGATATCTTGAGTTTAACATGAATTAATTATTATAGTATCGATATTACTAAGGCTGTATCTAATTTGTATAGCCTTCAATCTTCTTTATTTATAGAGATGTAAACTAAAGAATTAGACTCACTTGCCACATCCTCTTTCACAGATTTTCAATAATTTTCTGATTTTTTTGTATTATATTATTTCTTAACACTTTTTGTGACATGCACACAAAGAAATTTAAAGAGTGTACTGAAAGTCAAAGGGTTGACCCACACTATTGACTGAGTTTCATTAATTAATTGGAACTATTTTCAACCTTATGTTTGGAATCTTGACTCTTTCTACTTAAGGTCCAACTAGGAAAACCTTCTTACTATTTTTATATTCAACTTGCCTGTTAATGTACCTTACTGTTGTTGCTGCTGAAACTCAGAATCTATGAAGAAATCATGAAAGAAGCCAGTGGTGAGAACTTTTTGTTTGATTTTAGTGATGTTTCAGAGTTTTCATTATTGCCTTCCATACATGGGGATGACCTGATATGTATGTCACCAGACCTGATGGATGAGGACACATTGCTCATTGATGAATCTTAAATGCAGGTGCTGGAAATGATGTGAGTCAGTTTAGTCCAATAGGAATTCAAAACACACATTAAGACACCACCAGTTGCCTCACCACTGGGTATGTCAATTAGAGAGAATGAGTTTAGTTGAACCTATGACATCTAGTGCACCAGTTCTTCCATTGGAGACCTATCACCCCTTGGAGTTGAAGAGATGACAAAGAGCCAGAAGACTAGAAGGTCTAAGAATAAAGTCTGCCCAACTTAAAGCCCCACATAAAAGGCAGTACGTGGGTAGCTCAGCTCCAGTCTTCCAAGACCACTACATTACATTAGAGCATCGACTTCAACATCTGTGGTGTCAATTCATACAGTGGCTTCGAAGATAAAGGTTGAAAGAATAGGGTGCCCACAAAGCCTTCCACCAATAGGTGAAAATGTTTAGGAGAAAATAATCACATTGTGGGCACAAAAATTTGCAATTTACATAAACAGTTTATTGTTATGAACTAATACAATTTACAGAAATTTCTAATTGCAGGAGAAAAAGAAGTGAAATCAAGAATAAAAGAACTCATGAGATATAGAAGAAATGGTCTCACAAAATTAGAAGGTAAGATGTTAGTATTTTTCATCTAGTTTTTTATGTTGTATAGCAAGACATCTAACAAAAATGTGTATGTGATCAGGTAAAGATTTTGCCAGACATTATAGTGGTAGTAAAATGTGACTGATAATAAAAGCCCCCCCTTTTTAGTGGCTCAGTGATAAGCTTGTGGGCTTGCACACTAAAAATCAGGTTTTAGTACCCGTGGTGGGCACAGTGCAGATAATCCATTGTATAGTTTTATGCTTAAACACAAAACAAATATTACTGATAAAGATTAAAGCTCAACAAGTTCAACATTATCCTGTAATGTTGTAATGCTCACTCTTTCATTTGTGGGCAACAACTAAAAACTAGATTAACAACAAAGGAAAGAGAACTCTAGTTTTCGACTGATAAAAGTAATGCCTGGATTAAAAAATTCAATGTACGAGCAAGATTGTCAAGAAAACAAAAGCTTTATTTTTGCATTAATTTTCTAAGGCTCAATTATCCAGTTTCTGACATTCTTTTGCATTTCAGCTGTTTATTTTAATGTATCTACAACTGATATTTTTATTTATTTTGTGTTACAATAAAAACAAGAAGATTTTGAATCTTCTACTGTGTCATTCTAGAAAACCTTCCTTAGCAAATTCATCTTTTTTTTTTTTCCTATCTCATTTTATTACAAATTTCACTAGTTATTTCTTTCATTACCCAGCTGTTTTTTCCATTTCTTAGATTAACTTAGGTATGATAAAGTGTTGAGATTTTTTTTTCTCTCTCTCTAATCTTATAATGGATTCTGAAACCTCAGTAAGCTTCATTTAGTAATTTAAGATTTTAGTGGTAGCTTGCACAAATCCTTGTTTATTTTCTAGATACCAGAAAACTTGTTTTTGCACATTTTCAAAGAAGTGGTGTGGATTAAAGGACTTTGGCATTTTTACCTTAAACCTTGCTCCACATTACCAATAAGATGTATGCTCTTTATGTACTTGATTGATGAACTAGCAATTTCTTTGAATCATTATTATCTTTTGATAGATGAGTACTTTACTAGTAGACTGGTCCAGGAAACCTATCTGAAATTTATAACTTAATATTTACTAAAAAACAAAATACATTGTCAAAAAGTGTCAGAAAATTTCAAGAATTAATTAATATTATAATTATAGTTATTTGTACTAAATATTTAAAAAGTACATCTATTTATAAAGACTGATTTATGAGAATGAAGTAAACCCTTGTTTTGCTGTAACACACCCCAGGTCTAGATTGTAAATTTTGTATTAAAACTAAAGAAATACAAGTCTATCCGATGTTTATTTCATTAAATCTCCTGTCAGTTGTTTTAAGATATTTTAACAACCAAGGATCTAGGTTTAATCTCATTTTAGCAACTAAAAGACTTGGTGTGGCCTGCTGGTTAGAGCACTTGACTCTTAATCTGCAGGTTGCAGGATTGAAACCTGTTGCTGAAAATGCTTGCCTTTTCAGCAACTGATGCATTATAACATGATGACCAATCCTGCTATTCACTGGAAAAGAGTAACCAAAGAATTGGCTTTGAGTGGTGGTGACAAGCTGCCTTCTTTCTAATATATCACTTATGTATTGCTTTTGAACAAAATTTTAAGAGAAACATTCTATATAAAGCAAGTAAAAGACAATGTTGTTATTTGAAGAATACATAAGTCTGTTAACAAAATTCTTCATTGCTTTGTTTCAAATGAAATAAAATTTGTGGATAACATTGATTATTATAATCTTATAGAATGTACAGCATTTGAAACTGCAAGGTACAAGAGGGAGAGAAAAAAAGAAAACAAGAAAAAATCAGTAAGTTTGTGAACTATTTTTACTACCCAGTCTGTAAGTCAGGGAAACATTTTTAGTGGATTGATTCCCGAATTTAGCTTTCCAGATTTGAACTCTTTGTAATACCTGGAATCTGAATTACCCACCAGCATGACTGAACTCATACTAGTTTCCAGGCTATGGGGAAGTAAAATCCATACCCCCATGCAAAATCCCATAAAAAAACACAGTAGTGGCACAATACAAGATCTGATTACTCAGATCTATGAAGCCTGTTTCTTCAAGGTTTTTGCAAGTTCTGTTTATTGTGAAGGGCTGGAAAGTACAGTGGATTGTTCATTCATCATTGTCTTTGTGGTGATGGTTTCTGTTTGGAATCACAGACAAATACCTGCCCAAATGATTGCAGGAGCTAGTCCAGTGTATGGAAGATAAGATGGCAGCAATTGTAGCAGAGCAGCATGAGTAGTAACAGTAACAGCAGTAGTAGCATTAGCACTAGGACAGCATCACTAGCTTGGCACATTAGAGAATATACTCCAACCAGTGGTTTTATGTCTGTTTTAGACCAATCGTAGTACGCCAGCAAGAACACTTCTAATGTTATCAGGAACACAGTCTGGCTATCTTCTTAAACTGTGCATCTTTGTAGTTAAACACTATTGAGAGGTGAGTTTTTTAGCAAAAAAAAGGTGTGTTTTTTGAAGTTAAAAAATTGAGGCCTCTATTGGAGTATTTTTTTTTAGTTCTAACTTAAATACTGGAAACCCTGACACACTTTTTTTAGCTCACTAAGTTCCCTGAATTTGATCTCATAGACTTGCAGACTGGGTGTTCAATCTAATGAACCTGATAAATGCATTTTAATAATCAAAGAATTTTCTAAGGAATTTATAGTTTTTCCATGTTTCATTATATTATTATAAATTATCTATTTCTCTGATATTTGAAATGGGATCAAGGATAACATAAAGTTATGTTTTACCATTGTAATGTACAGAAATTAAATTTTTCATCTAGTCAGTCAGTTTTTCTGTTTGATACACAATGAAAAATCTGAAGGTAAACTTCTTACTTTTACAGGGTAGTAGTGGGTCTATACACAGAAGGTCAACACTTGTATCAAAGAAACCAGAGTAAGTAGTGGTGCTTATAGATAGTTTGAATAATGCTTCTCTCCTCTTGTAATATCTGGATATCCTAATATTCCTTAGATGATACTGATCTTGTAACATGTAAAATTGTTTTTTACCTATTTAATGGGACTTGATAGTAACGATATCAAACTTTAAAATATTTAGATATTATAGAAGTGATATGAAATAAATGGTTACAGACCAAATTATGCTACAGTATGGTTGTTAAAAAGTTAAGAGAATGAAAGTGATTTTTTGATACCTGCAACAATATCGATTTCTTTTTAAGAATCAAGCTTTCAGTTGCTTTCCAATTTACGATTTTTACCTGATAAATTCTTATTCTTAATCATTTGTTTCACAAAAATTTTGTTTCACATTGTTTTTTGGGACTTCATCTAAGTTGGAAAAATTGAAGATATTTGTTCTGTTTAAATTATACAATGAACTTTCAAAATGCAACATATTAAGGTAAATAATGGCTTCTGCCATTTTCTCAGATTAAATGTAAACACCAGCAGTCATCATGAGTTCACACAATACTTGAGGTATACCTAAGATGTGGTGACATTGTTATTGCTAGTATCTTTGCTAACTAAAATGCACCCACTGCTCTTCAATTTTACAAAATTTCCTTTGATGTTTATTGAGGAAACTTTTTCTGCTTAGAAAGTTGACAGGTATGACAGTTATCAAACATTATAATACAAGGTCTCATTCTCATGTATTTTAATTTTTATCGTTGAATATTTTTTTTCAGTTATAACTGTCTTATTTCATTTTTCTGTCTTGATAGAGAAAAAGATGGAGAAAGTGGACAAGATAAACAAGGTAAATATTTGTTCATCACACTTTTTATAATCAGATAAAGTAGTCATCATAGGCCTTAGTTGGTGGTATAATTACTTTTAGAATTGTGATGAGATACTTTCACATGTGGTAGTTTAGAGAGAATGTTTGAAATAGTTAGGTCAGAATTCTACCAGGTCAATCTATGTGATACTTGTTTCAATCAATAATTTTTTAAACTGATTGGTTATATAGTGTTTGTTGCAGTTGTGATTTTAATAAGCATATAGTTTATTTAATTCTGTCACCACTGTTCTTGTATATATTCTGACGGGAAGAGAGGAGCTTAAATATAGATATTAAAGCAATAAATTGCAGCTATAAGAAGGGATATGTTCATAAAAAAAGGCCAAGTCTGCTAGAAATATAAATAAATTATAACTACAGAGAGGAATATATATATATTCATTAAAACTAACATAAATAGATAGAAAAGCCAACCAGTATGATTTTTTGAATACTTATTATGATACTAATGTTGAAAATATAACAGTACTACACATATGGAAAAAAGTATAATTTTGTTAATTTTTTTTATTCATTAAAAGTTGGATCTTTTTTGGAAACATACTTTTGTAATTTATTCCCTTGAACATCAGATTTTTTATAGTCTGTTTTCATTGATGGTATGATAATAAAAATTATTTTAAAATAATACTTTACAAAACAAAACAGTCGTTTAATTATGATCCAATTTCATTAGAACAGCCATTTACATTTTTGATACCACCAACTTTAAAAGTTACTGTTTTAAAACTATTTAAGGCTGGGAATAAGCAAAAACAAAGATAAAAAGAGCACAGAATTGCAATTTCATTTCAAATGTTGACAGGCAATAATTTTATATATTTCTACTCCCTTGATGTTTCCTGGCCAGACAGCAGTATGTCTACGGACTTACAGTGCTAAAATCTGGGGTTTGATTCCCTGCAGTGGACACCGCAGATAGCTCAATATGGCTTTGCTCTAATGAAAAAACAAACAATTCCCCAAATACAAATTGCAATGGCAAGAGGAACCACTTAGAGTTGTAGTTTGTTTGTGTTCTTTTAATTAATTTAATGCAGTATTCATCAGAATTGAATGATAAATGTAAGCATTCCACTTGCAGTTTTATTTTGTAGGTGATTTGGAAGCAGAGATCAGACAAAAGTTCTTAGATATTCCCGATGTTGTCTAGATACTGAGCTGAAAAGGGTTATCAGTCTTCTAAAGCATTGTTGCACATGGGTAAACAGCATTGTAAATTAAATTAATTACCTTATAGCAATTAAGTGCATATTATTCAAACAGAAAGTAAAAGTGTTTACATAAAAATGTAAAAGTACATTATTATTGATCTGGAGTTTTAACTTATGAATGTATGTTGTAATAATGGGTTGTATAGATCTAACAGAGCATTTTTTCTGTTGTTTTAGAAAAAACTGTTTTAAAAGAAGAAATTAAAGAAGTTGACATTTCAACACTACCAAACTATCAGCTTCTTTCTGCCAGAGAAAAATTAGTAAGTAAATTTAGCTATTACTTTTGTATGATAAGTGTGTGTTCTAATTACTGTAGTCAAGCAACCATTTCTATACTGCCAGGTTACATGTCTTGTGCTTTTGTTGTTATTTGATAGAAACAGTTTAAATAAAAAAGGGTTAACTGTTATTCATCAGATGAGCTGTAAAGCAGTACTGTGTGTCCTCTTGACAGTTTTACTTACTTCATTAGTGATCCTTTGGGTGTTTTTCCATAGTCGAGCCCTTTAACCCGACCAATATGGGTTTTCTTATGGTCATGGGTCATGTTTGTAGACTTACATTAAAAATTTTATTGAACTACTATTTTGAATGTATGTCAATAAGTTTGGTATCAAATTGTAGATTATAATCCAAATTTTAGTATTATACATTAGTTAATTTCATAATTTAAAAGTAAATATTTAAAGAAAAATCCAAAATATGAATTTTTGTGTGTCACGTGGTATGTTGAATGTAGCTTTGGTTCAAATTAAATGCTTGTGATGTCCAAATATGATATTTACAAGCTAGAATATAACATATGAACCTCCTCTCTTTCCTATTTTCTGAGCTATTATTTCATGTAGTGAATATAACAAGTTGGCCCTGCCCACTTTATCCATTTTTCAAGCTTCCCAGTGGCACATCGGTATATCTGCGGACTTACATCGCTATAAACTGGGTTTCGATACCCGTAGTGGGCAGAGCACAGATAGCCCATTGTGTAGCTTTGTGCTTAATTCTAAACAAACCATTTTTCAAAGTACTTGCTTACATACACTTATTTCACCCAATGACGTGTGTATAACCAATCAAAAGTTCAGAATTTTCTCCACGTGGTTTACACAGCCTCTGTTAATTGTTAATTTGGAAAACCCTTTCTTTTCATGGTAGAATCCAAGCAGTAAGATAAGACATTATGGAGCTCAGAAAATCATATTTTTTTAGACCAAAATACAGCTTAGTTGCTAAGCCTGATAAATTATAGTGGAATTCTGTAGTATTGATATAGTAATTTATGATTTTTTATTATTTCAAAATGCATATATAAAACCAAAAAAAAGTATTTTGTTTTACATCCTCCATATGCTAAACTTGACAATGCTTAGCAAATTACGGCAAGTGGCAAATGAGTACAAAGTTTGTAACTAGAAGAGATAATTGTTTTCTATAATTCTTTATTTGCTGTTCTATGTTTCAAAAAAAATAAATTTAAGAACTTATTTGTAAATAGTAATAATGTATATACATATGTAATGTATTATAACTGAAATGTGACTGTATTTTACGAAATACTGCTCTACTAGAACAAAGCCAAAACAGGTCATTTTGTAAAGGCCAGTTTTATACTGTTGGATAACATGAGTGCTTGTGTGTTGTGTCATTCAACTTCTGTAATGTTAATCAGACACTGCTGAAAGGTCAATAAAATGAAAATTATATATATATGTGTAATATTATGAGATTTAAGAATAAACGTTTGTGGTTTTGTGTCTAATTTGTTATGGTGGTTATGAGATCAGATTGACCAAACCCATACAGAGATACAATAGTGAAAACAAGTGATAAAATATAAACATTTTTTCAAAAATAACGTTTGGTAATAATCTGTAAGTTATTAGAAGGTTATACAGATTTCACTTTTGAAATTTGACTAAAAAGTTACAGTATAACTGCTTTATGGTTACTTTGGGGGATATATTTGATGAAACCACCACTAGTATGCCTAACTTGTTATTTTTCACAAACTGTATTTTGAACTCACACTCTCCACATAGCCTATACTACCATATTATACAGGCAAATGTTAAGGTCTTTTTAGTTTTAAAGTGTATAACTATTTGTTATTATAATATTTTCAATTACTGAATTTTGGTAACATTGTTGTATTTTTTATTTAATAAAGTGTGAAATCACTCTGACTGAAAAATGATTTAGAGTTGACTTCATTATCTGAGGTATTGAAGGGGAGGGGTGACAAGAATATTATGAATTATAAAAAAAGGGTGATATATGTATATGTATTACTATAAGAAACTGATTATTACATAATACATATTAAAAAATTTTACACAATACACAATGTGAGAGGCCCTACCCTAATCATTTAGTCTTCTGTTTTCTATTTTAATATGTTTTTTTTCAAACTGTGGTATGCGACTACAATAGATATCACTGTTAAACTTTGCTCACTCTTCAGTAATCACAAGATTTTGTTCCATTGTTAATTAACTTCATTTATGTTTTGACATTTTGTTCTTAGTAGTTACTAAATCCACAACACTATAAAAAAAATATAAAATTAATAAAAGATAAAATAAAGAAGTGATAGAAAAGAATAATCAAACAAATGGCAAACAAAATGAATAGGAACTCTAGTAAAAGCAGTTAAAAGCTACACTGAAATGCATCAGCTTATGGATTCACCAGACCATGGCACAGTTAAACCTATCGCCACAGGTATCCTTAGGGTAGAGAAAATAACAGATAAAATATATAGTTTTACTGAAAACAAACATTTGAAATGTACTTAGGAGGTTTTAGGGATTACACAAATCAAATCTGTGATTTTTGAAACGAAGAAAAGTAGTTTTATTCTTAACATGAAAAACAAATACTTGATATATTCACGGACAAATCTTTTTTTAGTTTATTTAAGATACTTCACAAAAAAATATGATTTGTTGTATGTGAAAGACTTATAATGTTTACTGAAAGACTGACAAATTTTATGAAGATATACATTCCATATTGAAGTTAGTAATATCAAATCTATAAAGACTATACGAGTACAAAGAGGTCACATGGTCAGTTAATTGAGAATTGAGTATATTTATTTAAAATAACAGTTATGTTAGCTATGAAATAATGCTTAGTGTGTGTTTGGAAAGGAAATTCTAACCTTTGAAGTTACATGTGAAAGGTTTGCTTGTAAATGTTTCATTAGTTATTAAACAGTGGCTGGACTGTGTGTTGTATGTTATTTAAGTTGAAATTCTAAGCAGATTACTATACGAGATGCCTGTTTATACAGTGTTGAGATATATCATAAAAGGTTCTCCATTTTTAGCAAATTAGTATGTTTTTAACATAATCTAAAAATGTAGAGTTACACGGTGGTAACACATTCCACTCAATAAACACTGTTGGTCAGAAAGACATAAAAGGTAGCTAATAATGTAATAACATTGTTTTTTTGCTCCATAATTATTTATTAGCTGTAATAGTCATCATGCTAGTCATTAAATTTAGTACTGCTGTTTGAAAATATTTATAGAGGATAAATGTAAGAAAACAAGTATTAACAGTTTACTTCTTTTATAGAGAAACTGTTTGAATAATAGGTGAAAAAAAACTTATTCTGCCTTCACTGGTAATGAAATATGTAGATTACTTTCTTGATGACTTGTTTCTTTTTATGTCTAGAAAGATTTCAGTTGTACAGCTAAGTTTGAAAAGTGACATGAAAACAGTAATATAATTTCATGCTTAAATTTTGTTTCAGTTGTGTTCCTCAGTAGGACTAAAACCGGCACAGTACATAAGCTTTAAGGCTGTTTTACTGAAGGTAGGTTTTATAGGGACAAAAATTACATTTAGAACAAAATTTCACTGTCTACTTCCAGTGAGGTTTCTGCATTTACAGGATTGGCCTTCATCACAGTGATCTGAAGCTAATGTAGACTTTCTGATAAAATATTGATCCAATATGCAAAGTAGAACCAAACCAAGTTTGTTTTTATAAAACCTAACGATTTTGATCAGAGTAATCAAAACTTAAGAAGCAGAACATTTTACTAATAAATGCTGTAGTTGAAGTTTTGAGGCAGTACTTTTTATGAAGTGTGTTAGTTTATTTTATGTTAAATAAGAATAGCCACCTTAGTTGCTTTCTGTATTATTTGCTTAAATTAAGTACAAAAGCATGCATTTTATAACAAAAAACATATATAGACCTACCACTATTGAGAAATGTACAATTTTCAGTATTTAAACTAACATGTGTGCAAAGAATTTAAGGAAAAGTTTAATGCTGATATATTTTTGATTTCAACTTGTCAGTAGGATCATTTCAAAATGACAGTGCAAGAAAACATTTGTTTCTATTTAGCCAATCTTATAAGTGGTGGGTTGCCAGTTCTTCTGAATGACATTAAAGTTGATTCAAATAAAATAATAATAACAAAAAATAAATAATTAGTGTTAAAAATAAAATAAAATAATATTTTGTTATTAATCCTTACTCTAAGAATCTTGTTTGTAGTTGTTCATGAAAATCGGTGACATAAATAGCATCTAGACCACTACTATGTCTGTTGTATCTCATCTGGTGTGATACAGTAGTTGTAGTGGGGTTGATACAACATTCTTTTTTGTTTTCACTGTTAAATTCTTGCAAGTGTCTAGCTTTCATAAACTCTGTTGGAGTAACCTTTAACATCTAGCTATATCAAATACCTTTAAGCTCTGCTTTAGAAAATTATCATTTGTAAAAAAAAAAACGTATTTAATAATAACTCAGAATTTTCAGCATTGTTGATTCAGTGAAAAGCAATAACTTACAACACAGAAAGCTTGATGTTTCAACCAAAAAGTAGGATAGGTTCCTTTTTTCTTTCAGTTTTTATCAAAAACAATTCATAATAGCTGCATTAAACTATTACTCTTACCACTTTAATTATTACAGTGGATAAGGTCTTCTTTTTATCAAAATTACCAGTACTTTAAATAAACAACATACGTAGTTGATGCTGACAATGTCCAGCTAGTAGAAGTCCAAAGCAGTTTGGTCTCCCAAGCGAAGTTACCAAAGTATAACAAAGTTAAAACCTCATTTCACAAGTAGAAATGACCTAAGCTTTATGAAAACAAAATAACCATTACCCAAGGATTTATCTTATATCTTCTTCATGGCAAATTGGTTTCAACTAGCTTATTCAATAAAAACTACTGCAAGTTAAAACCTATATCTAGTTTAAAAGCGTGGCTTTACGTTGATAAAACAGTAGGCTTTAAAGGGGATTCCCCATGACCAGTAATCATGAAAATTTTCTTCTACCTCTGATAAAGAACTTTTAAGAAAAAAATAATTTTGTAAAATACTCATGGTTATTAATGCAAATTTGGCCCACTTCTTGATGTTTAAATGAAGAATTATAATTTGATTGTCACTGTCTAAATTAGTTAAAAGGTAATAAAAGTGCTGCTTTTGATTTTCTGAATTCTTAAAAAAAAATGTACATGTACTAAACCATTTTTGTTCGTAATTGTTCTTTGTATTAGTATACCACTTATAGATTTCATTCCATGTAGTATTGCTTTGTAAGAACACTAAGTGGAAATCTGATAGAAGAATTGTTGGACATTTACACGAAAATTATGTTTCAAGAATTAGGTAGCACCAATGTTATAGTTATAAACATTTAGCAATGTAATGTAAATATGTATTACATTCGTAGAAATTAATTACTTGTGGGTAAACAGGACATCATTAAATGAACAAGCATTTTTTTTTTCTGGTTGTTTAATGGAGGATTCAAAATATTGATTGTTTTAATCAGTAAAATTTTATGTATTTCAGGACCACTTAAAAAAGAAGCAAGGAAGCACTGTCAAACCTAAGTATCCAGCAGGTCTGGATAAAACTATGAGAAAAAAGATTATCAACTATTTAGTCCACAGTGGATGGATTACTGCACGCTAACTTCCATAACCTCAGGAACCTAGATATAAGAGGGAACATATTTATAAACTAGATGTCAGAACTGTTGTGTCAGTAGATAACACTAGGCTGAGTGACTTCATGAAGAGCCATGTTTTTGGTTTGGTAGCTGGTAGATCTTCCAGCTTCCTAGTTTGTATTGTATAAATTCATTAAATATGTAGGATAGAGTGTCAGTCATTGAATCGTGATTTCTTGGGAGTCACTTTTAATTGGTATGTGCATACTTATTTGTTTTATGCTGCAGGTTGATCAAGACATAATAAACCATGCAGAAAAGTATGACTTGTGATGCTACATAAATTTTGATCCTTGGTACTGGAAAAAATAGCTTGTGAAATATTCTGGGCCAATGAATCTCAACTGGTGGTACAAGAACCCCCAGGGGTATGTGTAGGTCTTGGAAGGAGTATGCAAGCTACCTCTAAAAAATAATCCAAAAAATTATAGAATTAAATTCAGCAAATTAATAGAACTAAAGTACCATAAAGGCAAAAGAAAGTAGTTAAGTTTGCAACACTGCAAACCTATGTGTTTGGTTCACTTAAGTTTGCTTTTCAGTCATGGTTTGAGATGCTTGTTTGTTTGTTTTTTGTGTTGTTTTTACAGTTTCAGCCTTCTTGCATTCAGTACAATACATTTTGACTGTGATGTTTATTGTATAAAAATAAATTTTTGTGATGTATTGGCTTAGAATAAAGACAGGTGAAAGTGTGATGAAGAGATGTGTAAAAATGATAGGGATAATATTAGTGTTAGTCCTAGTGGTTAGTACTACATGGGTGGAGTACTCATGTAAATAAGGGCCAGCTTAGGAGTACTTAGTCAAAAAGGTGTGGCAGCACTTAATCAAACAAAGTCTGGTTTAGGTTTCATTTTTGTTGATGAAATTAAACAAATTGTAAGTTATTGTTGTTTCTTTTTTTAATGCTGTATTTCCTATATAAGGGTGCTTGTTGCATTTTCTAATGATTTTGAAAAGAAAGTACATAAAAATAGATACAGATATTCTTTAAAATTTATTTTACAAAGTATTTGAATTAGAAATGTTTTTTAATATCAAATGTTCATAAATATAAAAAAAAAATTGCTTTTCCACATAAATTAACCTGCAGTGCAAACACGTAAATTGTGAACTTTTTAAGTTACATTATGCAAATACTCAACACTAAAGGATTTACAGTTGTTTTAAAAGGTGTTTTCTTTCTTATGTTTTAGTGTACCCATTCAAGTTCTTCAAAAGAACAATGGTTTTAAGTTTAAGTGAACTTAGAAATCAGGATTTTCTGTATTTTACAGTATTTGAGTTATGGACATATCTTTACAGGGTAAGCTTATTTGGTGCTACTATAGCGTGTGGTCTACCGTAGTATCTGTAGTCTACCTAGACCCACCGGACCCTATTACCCTTATCCCAGAGGGATCGTAGAAGACCCCACCTGACCTGACTTTACCTGTCTATTTAACTAAGTGTAAAAGTCTCGGTAGACCGCATGCTATAGTAGCACCGCTTATTTCTGCAATTTCATGTCAGTTTTTTGTTACAAAATGAGGATGTTTTGAAAGTTGAGCATACAGTGTGTACTTGGTAGATTTTAAACTGAAAATGCTGTAAATACATAAGACTGCCGAAACAACTTATTTGGCTGAAATAGTGTTAATTTTAAAAAATATGATGTTGCTGGCTTATTTCTCCAATAAGGTCTCGTATAACAAGTTATTTAATAAATGTTTACCATGAAGGAAACTTGGTTCTCCAGTTTCAACTAGTCTGTAAGGTTTTAACATCAGTATTAGGAACCATTTATTTCTCAAATGTAAATTATCACAACATGTATAAAACATTATTTCAGTAAACAGCTCAAGTTAGGAACATGTATATGATTAGAAGAAATCTATCTTAGGATTAAATAATGCATTCTATATCATATCAGTCACTGCAGTGTAAACATATATAATACTTGGGTAAATGATACAAAAATGTCACTACTGAATGGATCTTGGGGTGGGGGTATCTTATCATAGTCAAACAGTTTTATTTATTCAAAGGAACCACCAGAAGGAAAGATAAGTTACAATAATTTGACTTTCTGTTATGGAAGAGGAAGATAGATATTCTTATTATTATACAAATTTAGTTAACTTCATGGTGGCATTTGTCCACTATTACAGGTGGAAACATGCTAAGTTTGAAACATGTTCATGAGATATTCCATTATTATACACATACATAGAATACGGGAATTAGTTCTTTCTGTAGAGGAGAAATTGGTATTCCAGGTGTATGACAATGTTTGTTTCATTAAAAACAAAAGTAAAAGTGAAATTACAGACATGTTAGTATGTGTGAAATTTTGAGTTGTATCAGCCCGGGGAATTATAAGTATCAGATCATAAATGTTACTGAATTTATCAAGGAACATAGGACAACGTTCTCCAGGTTTTCTTACTTGCTAGTTGTACACACACACACACACATTTAGAATAGCTTTAGAAAATATAAACCTTATTGAATGTGTTTACCTTAACAGTAATCTGAGGAGGTGTTAGGCTGTATCATAGATATTGTAGATGTGAGATTCAAGTGGCTTTTAATTTTTAAAAATTACTGGAAGAAACATCTGTAACGTTGCATACAAAATGAAGAGTAGGTAGGCTGGGTAAATTTATTTTCTTGGCAAATTTGATTTCTGTGAAAACAAGGTAGTGATTATTTAACTACACTGGAAAAATATAACAACTGAACATCTAGAACATTGCAGTGAAAGTTTGATCAGAAAAAAGTGACAAATTAGTTGAGGTATTGTGCTATTTTTTGTAATAATGTAATAACTGTGTGATCTTTATAATATCCTACATCTAAAAGGGCAATTCTTATGCAAAGTTTTATTACTCTGTCCTTAATCATTGTTTAAAATGGTGAAATCACAAATAAGAATGCTTACTCTTTTCAGCTCTTTACTGGTTTATTGTCATGGAAACAGCTTTTCAGTCCGAAAATTACACTGAGAACACTCGTTACTTAGTTTAAATACTATTTATATCAATTTTGTATGAGGCATTTTACTACAACCAATCTTAGTATGATGTTCCGTCATATTTGCAAACGTATAATATACTTGCCAGTTTAATAACAATCTGTCTCTATGTTAAGTTTCTATGAATGTCAGTGAATTTTTAACTTAACTTTTATGTAATTTCCTATCGTCACAAAGAAATCAACCTGAGACTGGTTAAGTGAGAAATCCCCCAAGGTATTCTAGAACTAGATTTCTACAGCATAATTAGCACTTGTTTTAGTGCCTTTAAGATGTTGATGTTCACTCCAGTAATTTTATAGCTGATTTTAATAATTAAGACATTATAATTTGATCACTTAAATCCAAGTAATTACCAAACCAATCCTGGTTAAACATTTATATACTTATTTAATTAAAGTCACTGTTACATTATTATTATTATAGCTTGCTATATGGACATGGGAACAGCTTCAGGTCATTTGTTTGTGTAATTTTAACCAATATACATTCCTGATAAATTTAATATTATTTGCCTTTTTTTAATTTGTAAGTTGATAAAGTTATATTGTAGTTTAAATTAGATTTTTATTTATATACAGGGCTGGCACAGAATAAGTTTGGGTTTAAACTTGTAGATGTTGGAAGAATTGTATAATCTGTAGTTTTGCCAGTTGGTGTAGACATACAGAACTTTGATGGTTAAAATAAAAGCTCCTAGATTGGCAGTGCAAAATGACATTTGGTCACAGTATATTTTATCTTCAGAAAACTAATATTAATGTAAGTTACATCAAATGTTCAGCGTGCCCTCCGTCCATTTCCACAACAAACTCCAGACCAAGTGAGACATGACAAAAAGCAACACAATGCATATATTCAGTGGTATGCATTATGTAATATTGAAGTGTTTTTTTTTTGTTTGTTTTTTTGCTCAATTATTGATAATGGGTAGTGTAACAACTCTACTAATCAATGAGTGAATGAATGAGTTCTGATGTTGATCTCACACTTAACTACAACTCCTAGTGAAGTATTTACAAGTAAATACAGTTTCAAGGTCACATTTCAGTGCCACATGTGGTAATTTTTGTGTGTTTTCAGCATATGTTTTTATGCACCTACCAAAACTAGGTTGTACAGTTCTCCAATCACATACACCCAACATATTTTGTGCCAGTCCTGTACATAATTATACATGAGGACTGAGGAATCCTTGAAAGCATTCAGATAAACATGTTTTGCTGCAATTTGATTTGTAATGAATTTGTATTAATTTTCTTCCAGGTTTTGCCATGTATTTATGTTTAGTTCCAACAGTGACTACTACTTTTCAAAGTTGAATCTTTACGAACAGTGTATATTTAAAAAATGTTATTTGACAGCCCCTATTACTTCCAAAAGTATCTGTATTACCCAAACTTTGTATTAGAATAAAAAATATAAGCTTACTACTTGAGGTAGTAATTAAAATAATTAGTCAAATGTTGTGGTTTTGTATTATTATTATTATTTGAGATTAATTATTACGTACAATGAAAAATGGTAAATAGGGAGTTATATTCTTACATGTAATGAGTTTAATTTGAATTATTTGTAAGATAATACATATGAATATTTCAACAGTACTCTAGGTAACAAACAGCTACTTGTTAGTGCCAAGAGGTGATTTCACATCACTGAAGTTTTCTCACTATTTATTGTACAGTTTTGTAAAATGTATATAAAATAAAATCCCCATCCTTTTAACTTGTTGGTGTACATTTGTGAAATTTTTCATCAGAACAAAGTATATACAGATGTTTTTAAATTTTCGTTTTAATTATATTAACCATGTTTGAGATTCCATGGTATCACTCGGTGAAATATTATCACACTTTTCTTAATTTTATTGATTATTGGAAACTTGAATTTAGAGAGAAATTTTAAAACAAAGTTTTTCTTCTTCAAAGGTAAGTTTAAGGATTACAATGATAAAATACAGGGTCCAGTTCCGTGCGATTGATAGAACGTAAAGAGCCCATTATGTAGCTTTGTACTTAAAACAAACATAAAACTTTATAATATAGGCAGCAAATTGGATGAGAACTAATTCCAGCTTTTAAAACTTTCTTGGATCATAAAATAAAGATTTATTTCGTAAAAGAAGAAATTAAAAGTTAATATTTATTCTTACAAAAATAATATAAAATACTTTACTTTTTGAATACCACCTGCAAATATTTGATGTTTAAAAATAGAAATGACCTTAAAACTGACTTCATGCTTCAAAAACATAATTGGTGAAATAATTTTTATTCTATGGCTACATTACAAATTTCCAACTGTGTTGGTTAACAAGTGTTTTACCTTTTTTTTTATAAAAGTGTCAGTAATAGTCACAACAGAAGTATTTGAAAACTTGCAACTGTTGACTGAACCTTTATATTCAAATTTATTAATATGTATAACAAGTACTAGACAATCCTATAAAAAATCTTACCTACACTTCTTGTGTTATTGCTGAGTTTTATAATATTCAGTTGCTTGTATATGTCTGGACTCATGCAAAAGTAAAGTTATAAGGTTTATTTAATACTCTGGAGGAAATAAAACAAAATAGTTTCATAGAAACCTCATACTTATTTAAGGAAGAGTTGAGATGGATAGCATCTCTAGAACTGAAAGCACAGTAAATAAACCATGAGGAATCCCAATTAATTGAATTTTTAAAAATAGTTTCTACAAATATAATTTGCTTTTAAGAATCAAAATATAATTTACATAGAGGAATATGTCCTTCTCACTTTTCCATTAATGAAGTATTTTCTTCATACTGTTACGACAGCGGAGGTCACGTGATGCTAGTAACACATCATATTCTCGAAGGTTCGTGAAGTCTCGAGCGTTTACTAGATATGCGGTATTCTTGTGTATATAAGACTGGTAAGAAGTGACGGCAACAATGTAATTGAACTGCAGACAGAGAGAGACTGACGATTGAGTCGAGCACGTGAGTCGTTCGTTGTGAATTATAGCATAGCGTGACTGTGGAAATTAAGTGTATTGCAAAGTTGTATTCAGAAAGAATAAACCAGTTTTATTTAAGAAAGGACTTTTATCGGTAAAGTTTCCTCGGAACAAATTTTTACGGAAAATTAACTAACGACCAGAGATAGAGACGTAACAATACTTAAATAGTAATAATATTGATTCATAATGATGTATTTTCAAAGAAAATATAGCAACCAACCTCTGAACCCACAGAGTTGAAAACTAAATTTCTACTCTTGAGAAATGTAACCCTATTAAGGTACAAATCCTATTTTAAAGGTTTGTACATTTTTGTAGTTGATTCAAAGGAAGTTGTTGTTTGCCTTTGTCCTGTTATTTTAGGTTGTAATTTACAGCAAAAATTTGACCACTAAAACAATGTTGGCGATATTTTCAAATCTTTCTGTTTGTACTAATTTCTACAAACTTTGCAACTAGTTAGCCTTTATATCTTTACCATCAAAATCTGTTTGTGTATGACTTAAATTGCAATTTTCTTCTTTAATCCAATTCACAGCAGTCATTGTTCATGAAAGCTGATGATATAAATAGACCACTACCTCTATTGTATTCCAGCTGGCTTGATGAGCCCTAGTATTGAGCAAAAGGCCTCTGTGGCACTGGATATATTTAAACAAATTTTAGGAACTTACATAGCAAAGGAAAGAAGAATATGTTATGTCATTCTCACTGTATCTGTTATATCCAGTACCGGGGCCCATCAGACAAGCTAGGATATGAAAGATATAGTAGTGGTCAAGATGATGTTTATATCATCAGCTTTCAAGAATGATGACTGTTATGGTGTGAATTAGATTAAGTGTAACAATTATCTATTTAAGTCGTATACAAATATGTTTTTTTTAACACTAATTATTTATTTATATGAATTAGCTTTATTATCATTCAGTACTGGTGAACAAGTGAGCTAAACAGGTCGAGCAACAACAGTGTCAGTGGAAGAAAACTATCATAGTAATTCTAAGAACTTATGAATGAAAGTAAATACATCAACCACACTATATCTGCTGAGAGATGTATCTACTAAATAGATAACTTTTTACTACTGTACATCAATTAGACACCTGGCTAATTCAAAATACATTTTTTTTAGTTCACAGTAGGTTTAAGTTTGTTACATAACAGAACTATTATTCTGTTTTCACATTAACTGGAGTTATATTAAGGATGACTGACTATCATTAGAATTTTTAGTGTGAAAGTTGAAACAATCTAGTGTTCATAAAACTTAGATATTTCACATGTGATATGTTATTTACTTTCATGACTTAGGAGATAATTAAAATTCATAAATAATAACCTAAATATGTACCTTAATTTTATTTTGGTTCTCTAATTAATTGTTTGAGTTCTTAAAAAAATGCATTATTACTATTTTCCACTAGGTTATCTTTTAAGATGAGTTGGTAAAGCACTCGCACGTAGTGTAAGGGCCCTGCTCAAGGGAGACAGAATGGATTACTACAAGTAAATCTCACACCAAACTAGTGTCATCCTACGACCCTGAGACAAGGTTCGAGGACAGGCCTTGTTCGTGAATGTGGTAAAATGTGGTACTTCGTGTTAAAAAGAAACTACTTTGCAATTGCTAGTGGCTTAACCCTTTAGTTCAGTTGTTAGAACACTCATCTGGGGTATGACCAGTTGTGGGTTCAACTATGACTCAAGGAAATGCCAAAAAAAGATTATTCCAAGTGAATCATGATTTAGTTCTAAAAATTATCGTTTATTACTTTAATGTTAAATTCCGTACTCTAATATTTTTTTGTTTTTGATATTGTGAGAAACTTTTTGATAGATAGAAAAAATAAAATTTGAAGCTATTGGGATGAAATTTCATATTCATCAATTTGTTTGTTTGTTTGAAGTTAAGCACAAAGCTACACAATGGGCTATCAGTGCTCTGCCCACCACGGGTATCGAAACCTGGTTTCTAGTGTTGTAAGTCTGTAAACATACCACTGGGGGGCCTTATTCATCATATAAAAAATAAAGTCAGTATTAAAAAATTGATAATGTAGTATAAACTATCAACTAAAAAAAATGTTTTTCATGGTAAAATTAAGTTGTAATAATTTAAAAAATGTAAGTTCATTTATAGTGTTTTAAACAAACATCATCTAAATAAATATCAATATTCATGGTAGATATAAGTATGATTTCTTTTATTAAATACCAATAATTTAAAATGTGTTTTAGCAAACCTATAAACAGTACAAATGTTGTAATTCTACAGATGAATTTGAGTTTTAGATTTAAACCAATTCCTCCAAACAATAGACCAATCTATATTAAAATAATTGTATAATATCGTATATACAAATGTGTATCTCAGATATTTAACTATAGCTAAGAGAAAACCATCAAAAGATTATTCATCTAATCTATATATACAATACTATTTTTATTTTTTTTACAGATACTACATTTTACAATGTGATTTCTTATATTTCAAGTAATCATGTTGAAATTAATGAATTTGCAAGACTTATTCTTTTTTTGGCTGGAACTTGCCATGTAGTTTGTTAGGTGATAACTACCATTGTAATTACTATGGTTGTAACTTTACCTTGTGAGACATAATAAAACATGAGCCATGATCTTCCATTTGGCATTGAGACATTCGACTTTTAAGGTCATTTATTTTGTTACAAAATTACTTCTCTTCGCTTTACACAAATATGTTTAATCACTGTCATGGTTAGTAGTCTATACAATCATCTGAGATCTCTCCCTCAGGGTAGACAATACACCAGCCTCTCTATCAGAAAGACCCATGGCAGAATCCTGGTCTCTACCACCACAGAAACAGTCCTTCTCAGGACTTCCCTAAAGATGGCAACAGATTAGCATCCAAAATGTGAGATAAAAAATAGTTAGTAATTAGTATCCAGTAATCAAAAAATTAATTAATTAATAATTAGACTTTCGTGACATAGAAGACTACTAATTATGACAATGATTGATATCCTAACCAGAAGTACTCATAAGTTTTTTGAGTTTCTTTTGTACTTTGTAAAGTTGTGTGCATGTACATCAAGATGTAGTGACACTAGATGCTCTTACATTGCAACATAAACTGGGCATTTATAATTCTAAACAAACTTCTTTAGCTTACTGTCTCCTAAATTGTACCTTAGGTGTATATTTCTCTATATGTTACAATAGGAAAAGGTCAGCTTATAGATTTAGTAAGGGATTTTAATGCAAAAAAAATTCAACTTAGGCCACTCATAGGTACAAGTTCTTCACAGTGACATTGTAACTTTAGTTAACAACAGTGATAAGTGCTATAATATGGTTAAGCACATTTGGTTGGCCATATAATGTCTTTTACTCTTCACAGTCAATTATAAACTTAGACTGAACCCAAAACTTAGTTGAGCTTTGTCTACTCATGGTAAAATACCTCTGAAAAATATAGCAATAATTGGTCAAGAAGAACAGCCAGAATTCCATGATTACCTTTAACTACAATTAAACTATTTATGATTGAGAAACATACATATGTATGATTATTATTCTATGTAAAATGAGATAAAACATACTTTAAATAATATGAAATCTTGTTTTTTGTTTCATTTTATAACTATTATTGTTTATACTGCAGATATGGGGTTATTTTAGTCGATTATGACATTAAGAAATTTTCTGAAAGGTTTACTAAAGCTTATTAAGATCCCAGATGTCATGAAGAATTACTAGTCTTATTGTTTATTTAACATTTTAGATTTAATAAGAATAAAGAAATAAAATCACTGAATGGTACAATATAATTCATGCAAACTGTTTCTTTCTATTTTCCTTTCTTTTTTTTCGTCTTCATACACCTCAGCAGGTAAAATAAACCCTAGTGGATAAGAGTCTAGACATAGTGAAATAAAAACCTCTGTGATGCAAAAAACTGCCAAAAGCCAAAGGATATTGTTCTCAAAATATAGTATTAAGAAGTATCTTTAAATATTTAAGATACTACCAATATTGCAGCTTAGAATAAATTCTCTACAAAAAAAAGACAAGGTCTCTACATATGCTTATAAGAAAAAAAACTACTCTTTTATTCAGTGAATGAAGATAATAGTTTCTTCTCAAAGTTTCTGTTTGGCTTTTACATAGTTAACAACAGTTTATAATTAAGTAGTGCAAAAATACCTCTATTCTCTTCCTGTATGTTATATTATTAAGACTTATGACACTGAAATTAATGAGGTTCTAAAAAACAATGGCAACAAAACAACTATTCAAATTACATACCTGTTGTCTCAAATTTATCAGTTTGTAGGAGACCAAAGTGGCTTTTTGTTAATAGAACAGTATATTTTTTTTACAACATTTACTGAAGTAACATGATACTAAGTAATGTTATTTTTACTCCTTACAAAATGTTCTACTGACCTCCATTGAAAAAAAATATATATATTAAAATATCAAGAGTACTTATACTGAAAGATTAACAGATATGCAGTGAGCATACTTGAGAAGAAAGACACACACTGGGCAAAAGGAAGAAGAGCTACTGGTCAAGATTTGTTATATCAATCAACACAACCTGAAAGTTTAAAAGCTGTTTATAACACTAATCACAAAAACCCTAGTGTTACCAGCCATTTCATCCAGAAGGTGTTTTGTTTTCTGTGGAATAACCTGGAATGATTTTATGGCTAAACTTTAATTTTTTTCCAATCATTCATAAAGTATATCATAGTGGCCTGGTCTATAAAGGAGATGAATTCGAGGAGCTTTGTCTTCAGGGAAGTTGTGGGCATTAACCTTATCACTTTCTCCCCTATCCATGTACTGAATCTTGACTCCAACTCCAAGGGTGAGAGTCAGAGCTATCACATGAATATGGTCACTTTCCTTGTACATAGGTTCCACTTCCTGAAAATATAATGTAATTCATTCTTTACTGAGAGTACACCACACACAAGCTAGAAATCTTATTTTCACTTGATCAAAATATTAATTTCTCATGATACTAGACTATAAAAAATCATCACAACTGTCATGATTAGTAGCCTTAAAATAATGTGTAGGATTGAGATTGGCACAACATGAACCATTAAAAATAACTTATAACTAAAAATGCATCATCCTACCTGGTGACAGAATTCCAATACTGTCCTGTCTCCTTCAATAAAGTTAGAAAAAAAGGCTTCTTCTTTGCGTAAATATCCAGAAGTCAGGAGTCTATTTCAAGAAAGGAATGAGATAAACACAGTCAAGTTTTAATATTATATATATTCACTTTAAGTTACCAGATATCATAGTTTGAAGCAACAGTGTGTGTTTGTGACAATATAGGAATAAGTTCATTAAAGAAATACTTCTTACATGAAATAAAATATCCATACAGCTTCTGAAATAAAGAATTTGTATCTTCTAACAAAATTTTTACAAGTCTGTTATCAAATCTACTAAGTTTCCTATTTTTTTCAAATGAAACCAATAAAAGTTTATTAATTTCCCTTTAACAATTTTTCAGACAACAGTTTCAATATCATGACCAAATATAGATTCAAGTATATGGCAATGCTGTACATAAAGGTGCATTGTGTCTATCCAGTAATAAATCTGCTTTTTGTTCCTTGAAAATATTTTGTTTTACATTTACAGCTTAAGTCACCATTCTTGCAGAATGGTTGTAGATTTAAGTTAACATTTAAGCTTCTAGCGTGTTGTTGCATTTTATTGCTATATTAGGGGTGATACTTTCACAATGATGTATATTTGTATGCTGTAGCATTTAAAATTATTATCTATGTGAATTACTTCTTTCTCATAACATCCAAAGAAGGTTTTGTGATATAAATATTCATTGATTATTTTTTAAATTGTGTTAAAAGTCTGGTTGATAGACAAGGTCATGTGGATGAATACTGACAAACACTGCGAGTCTACACAAGTATTTCTGAGATTTATCAAACAGAATATTGTAAAATTAATTTATTGCTTTTAATTAGTATAAGCAAGTCTACAGACAAAATGAGGAGTATTCATAATTAACTTGAATTTAGATATGATCTTAAAGATTTATTAAACAATATTTAACTGAGATTACTGTTTAGCATTGAATGTTTATTGTAAATTATGAAAGTTACATCTAACTCAATATGATTAAATGGAAATATAAGAGGCTTAACTTGGACTTATAATAGTCTGATAACAGACTTCTTATTTTTATACCCAGAAAGAAATGGAACTACAATCTATTTTATATGAATATTAAAATATTGTGCAAGTAAGTTTTATCTCTGCAATAAGCCATTTAGTTTCATTTCTTCAACATATCAGAGTCATCTACTAATTGTGAAGGAACAGTAAGTCTCTTAACAGTGCTATTTTACTAAGTAAGTAATTTGGCAAAATTCCTATCATGTTAATTATCTTATTTAAATAGAAAATACTGTCTAAAAATTTTAAAATTTCATCTATATTTTACTAAATATTAACACTTTTTAAAGCCTGTTATTAATACAATATCAAAGGCTTTTATACATGATGTCATGTATTTTGAAATACCAATTATTACATAAGAAATTCTACAAACAGTTTTAAATAAGCATAAGATAAATATTACAACCTAATTCCAACCATGTGTGTCTTAAAACTGCTATACTATTTGGTCTTGTTTTCATGGGTAAATTTTGAGAAATAAAAACACAGATACTACAAATATATATAACTCTTAAAAAGAATTTCTAAATAAATTTCAATACTCAACAGTATATATTCACAATAAATCACTTTTTATATTAACTAATAACACAGGCCTGCAAATTTAAAATTTCATTAAAGTTGATTTGGTTTTAATAATGGATTTTAATATAATTTAGCTATGCAGATTTCGAAAATAATATTAATTTTTTTCTATCATGTAAGGATATTTTACATTTGGGAAGATCAAATTATTATTTCGTTTACTACAATGAACATTTTTATTATTATGTTTGTTAACAAAAATACAAACAAACTGAAGAAAAGGGAAGAACACCGATGTCAAACGATTATGCATCCTGATTTTTTTTTTGTGAAATCTACATCTTTTAGTCTCAAAACTATGTGTTGTGGTCTTTCTTTTATGTATTGTGTCTGGAGCATCACGTTTCAATGACCAGCAGTAATCAGCCATCATGCTGATGTTCTGCTTTCCCTGATGTCTTGATGAAACCTGTCTCCTTGTTCTTCGCTGACAGCACTGAGATTTTCATGGAAATAGTCAATATGAGAGTGTTAGAAATGAACTTTCAATCTCATATTACAACCCAACTCTTTGAATTTATTGATCATGTTATTGGCAATATTTTCATAATTTGGGTTATTTTTTCTAAAAATTTGTCAATAACATCTTTAAAAGCAATCCATGCTTCTTTTTTAACTTTTTCTCATTGTTCTTTTGAACTGTTCATTTCAAAGTCAATTTCCTAATCTGAGGCCCAATATCAATCCCTTCTTTGGAGAACACCTCTTTTAGACTACTTTTGGAGGAATCAATGAACAATCACCACTCACTTGGTTCATAGACTGCAGCTCCTAGCATTGCTATTAATTCTGAAAAATTGTTGCAATAAACCAGTGAACTTTCTTGCAAAAAGTATGATATAAACTCTTCTTCATGATTTCTGTACCAGTAAAATGATATCCCTGGAGAAAGCGAGTTTTTAGCCCTAAGTCTGGACCTCAAAATCTCTGAAGAATCCTTTGGAAGGCCCAAATCTCTCACCAAATTATTAAGTTCACCTTGTGTGAAAAGTTGTGGTTAACCAGACGTTTCAGATTGAAAACAATCCCTATCATCATTTCTGACAAAATTTTTTGACATCAGATTCAGAATCAGATGAAATTATATCAAGAGCCTCTTTGTAATGTCTGGATAGTTATCAACTGTTTCTTAAGAAAAAACTTCATATTTTTCTGATATTTTCAGTAATTAATTTCTACAGGTTCGGTAGATTTGAATGATCTTGTAACCACCATAAAAAATTAGGAATTAAACATAAATTATGCCTCTTTCATTCTAAACTGAACACAAATTGTAACACGAAAATAGAAATGTTTAGACAAAATAGCTTAAATCTCATAACATTATACATTTATATATATTTATTGTATTGACCTTTCACCTATGACCCATCTCAAAAGGGTTAAACAACCTCTTCTTACCAAAGAGATGAATAAATAATATTGAAAAGAAAAAATAATGTCAAAGTGCACGCACAGACAAATACTATCCAGAAATGACATGTTATGTGGTCTGTTAACCATTCATATACTAGCAGTATGTTTCTTGTGGGTTCTAGAACAATCGATAAGACTCTCATGTTGTGATTGGACTAGAGAAGTCTAAAGCCAGTGGTTATCAACATTTTAAGCATAACAAAATGTGATCCAATTTCGATGAAAATGATTCACTTATGTAAAAGCACATGACGTTTTATGAAAAATCTGTCCATGATGGAGAAAAATGGATATCATTTTCAGATTTAGCGTACAGGAATTACTGAAGAATATGTAAAATTTCAAGACAATAAAACCATCGCAGGCCTGTGTAACTACTCACTAGTATACCAGTACAAAAATTAACACTTAAAAATTGTGAGAAATGCATGTACAGGTAAAACATATGTATGAAGAAATTCATCAATGGAATATAGGTAAAGTAAAACAGGCAATAAAGCCTACATAGAGGATACAAATAAAGTAAAACAGGCAATAAAGCCTACATAAAATTAATTCAAAATAGATTCATCAAATTCGATGACGAGGAACCCACTTTGAGACTAATAATGGTTGGAGACCCTTGAATGGGTAATGAAGAAAAACATTAATATAAGTTGTGTTAAACTTATATTAAAGTTTTTCTTCATTACTCATTCAAGTTGTCTCCAACCATTATTAGATTCATCAAATGAATGATATGGAATAAATATAAGGAAATGGAAAAAAAGACAAAACAAAACTGTTGGTTCTGGTGTTTTTCAAAGAAGAGTTTAACACATAAAGAAGTTAGTTGATTTCACAGTAGTTACATATTTTAGCAATTTACCTCTCTTTTTTATGAACATATATTAATTCCTTTTTTTTTTGCATCACTCTTTTCTCTGAAAGAAGCCCAAAACTACTAGCTAAAGTTTTTTTCTTTCTTATGTTTATTACTGTGTATGCATTTCACCTTTTATTTTACATTAGTTTATGGCTGTTCAATATCATGCTTGACTTAAAATACTTCTCAGTGAAAACAGTGAGAAATATGTTTAAATTTCACTTAATGTAGTATTTTAAGTATGCTAGGAAATAAGGTTTTCCAGTCTTTTATCATATTTTATCATATTTTTATTTTTTAAACCTAAATGCTTTTATGTCATAACCAACTTCATTAGTATGTTTTGTAACTACTTAATTTTTATAAAATATAAGATAAAAAGATTACATCCAATTTGAGTTTAAGTCTAAGATATGATTCAGAATATGAATTTATTTAGATGGCCTGTAGTGTAAATACCAAAAACAAAATGAAATGAAAATTTAATTTTTTATTATTTACTATGAGCTTCTTTACTAATAAGCACAGCCCATGCTTGACTTAACAACTAAGACAAATTACACTGTTTTCTATATAAAATCAGTCAAGTTATGTTTTGCATGGTTATATGTTATTTCTAGTTCATAATACTCCTACCGATATGTTACCTACTTCCATCTGACTTACGTTTTCTACTTTCATAATAATAGCTCAAAAAAAGATTACTGTAAATGCATTGATTACCTAAAGCTTGATATTGCCATAGATAGAAAGTGAATTTATGAATTGGAAATTTCCAATAATTATCAGTAACAAGCTGTACAAAATTCAAGTGTTCAATACATGGAGTTGAAACTGAATTTACAAAAGTACTATAATAGTATACGATCTAGAGGGAAAGAGAAATCAAGTACTTATGATCAGTAAACTTCACACCAAAGAGTAAGTTCTTATTGGCAAATATACAAACGACAATAATTCACTTAGGTGTTGAAAGACAAAATAAAGGAAAGCAAATACAATGCATGATAAAAAAAAAGGAAAGGAAACAAGAATGAGTTGATACAGATACCAAAATATCTGGATTTCACTTACCTCATATATACCACAATGTAGTCTGAGTAACCCTGGTCATTCAATATATTAAGTAGTTCTTCTTCTGATATCTGTGTCTCAATTTTATTGAGTACTTCCATGAACTGAGGGAAATTAAATAATTATTTGAAATAAAACAAGGCATTATATCTAAGATAAACAGAAAAATTCCAAATTTTTAAAGCTCTTATGTTCTAATACAAAGGGAAAACATTATAATGTCAATTAATGCAGATAAAAAAAAGCAAAACCAACAGGTTTTGTATTTAGTCATATTAAACTTTAAAAATAAAACTAGTCAGTATCAAATCAGACAAAAATTTACAGACAGTTCAAAAATCTCAATGTTTGTTTTTTAAATGAGCTTTGTATATTTAGTAACCACATGCAATACATGACAGAAAGTCTAGTGTAAAAAAAACTGTAATTAAATACTCACTGTATCATGAAAATCTTCTATAGTAAATTGAGGAAATCCTAAGGCAATTAAATCTGGTTTACTTCTGGCAGCAACAGTTTTAAATCTGCAGGCATAAAAAATATCATTCACCAGTTTTCCAAATTTCTTTGATCAGAAATAATTTTATATAAATAAAGTAAAATGCAAGCTCTTAATGCAATATTACAATCTACTATTTTAAGTTTTCTACTCAAAGTAAATATGTCAAAAAGGCAACTAAGTCACATTTATAAAGGTTACACATATGTATGTATGTATGTGTTCATAACTTGACAACTTACACGGCACCACATTAAACCCTTTCTGGACGAAGGGGCATCATTGAAATTCTTTGATTTTATTTTCCTTCTCAGTAAGTTTACTTAGCCAAATTGCATGAAACATAATAAGACACTCTTTTGAAGAAACATTAAAAAATACTCCCTTTTATCTTACAATTTCAATTTTAATTAATGTTGATGAAAAAGTTCCATCTGATATATATATCCAATCAATTTCAACTTGATTGATATTAACATATTTCTTTTTATATCTTTTTTTGTCAATTGTGCTTTGATAGAGACTGTTTACACCACATGCTTTGACATCATAAAAGGGTGGGAATGAAGGAGCTGTAATAATAAAACCTTAAACAGGACATGGCTAATTATATTCTCAAGAGATGATGGTTTCTTAGGAAAGATAAGCCTATTTTTTTGGGATGAGCTGAAAAAATCTAAGTATGTTGTTTACAGGCAAGACGTCTCCGAGCAGTGCATAAATGTAAATGTATATATTTTCTTTTTCTTTGCAAATTACACTGAATAAATATTACGAACTGACCAAATATTCTATTCTAAAATATTGTGGAGTTAAAACTTTATAGAGTTAGAATCATTATGTATTTTTATTTGATAATTTTATATTCAAGTGAGCATTAGACAATTGAAAGGTGATCACCACTTGTGATAGGGTTAATGTAATTATACAGCCATGATATATTTTTGCATAATTTACATATTACCACACAATCATAGGTTTACAGCATTACTGTATGATCGAATTCTGAATTTCTGAAATTAGTAAAGTCAAGAATAGGTCAATGTTACAAGAACTAAAATTTTTGACTTAATTGTGACTTTTTGTTTCGCTTCGCAAGTGGTACCTGCCAGCTAGAAAGTCTAATCAACGGCCTGTCAAAAGACACTGAAAGTCTAAAAGTGTGTTTGTTGTTTTTATTTCATAAACAATAAGTTAAATCGTTGACGTTGATGGAAATACATTAACTATGTCTAACATTTTCTTAAATATTATTGTTTTAAGCTGTTTTTATTTTAGATAAGGGTTGCATAATTAAAAATTTTGCTACATAATGAATGCATAATATTTACTTTTTCTGCATTATTAGTAATTCTATAGTGCATAATTTTAAATTTTAGCAACACAATTTTAATTTTGCCACATAAAAAGTAAGGCCACATACAATAAACATACCATAGAAAAGCATACAAAATGATGAGATTAAGTTCCAAAAAACATTTTAGCTGCTGCATATAGAAATACTATTACGTGGATAATAATAGCAATAAATAATAAAAAAAGTGTTTTTTGGGGGTTTTCAGCATTCAATTACAACTAGACAGTTGTTTGCCTTAACTGGTTAATTCTATGTGGTGGCAACAGCTTTAGGATTTTTGGCTATTGCACTGGTTTGACGATTGATTTTTGGAAAATTCATACCCTAGCTTTAAAAGCTTTAGTTATTTGTAAAACATTGAATAATACAGAACAAACAGCTTACAAACTATTTCTAAAAAAACTTACATAATTTTTTTACACAACCTACCTGAGATATTCTTGTTTGTCATGTAATAAACTTTCAAGATATGCAAAGCTAAAGGCTCTGAAAAAGCAGTTACCATCTGGTCTTGTCCTTCGCATGAACTGGTATTTGTTTCTTAAATCCTAGAAAGATTAACTATAATAACTTGGAAGTGACCACACTCATACAAATACAAAACATATATTTATAACACTCTAGATTACTGCTTCATGTACAATCACATGAAGCCTAGATAATCTCTGGGCAACCTCAGTAATTCTCTAAGTCTTCATAATAGAGACTTTATTTGAATCAGTTTATTTGTTTTATTAAATAGAGTGCTAAACTGATACATAGTTGTGTAAAAAAGTACTAACACTAAAGTCAAATTGCTTAGCAATAACATGCAAACTAAGATACAGATGAGTTAACAATGACAGTGAGTTAAGTATCCATCAATCACCATCTAATTTCATGTAATTATGTAGTTGTGTAAAATATTATCATTATCCAAGACCCAACAGAAGTCTCATAAAATGGGCCAAGTTGTAGGTATGCCAGCTAATTATTACAACATTTCAATGAAACAAAATCCTAACAACCTAATTCAAAATACAAAATGCACAAAAAAATAATCATTCAGAAAGATTTGTGAGCACCATTACCACTACTTGGGACTTTTCCCAAAATCTTGGGATCTTAGGAATTTATTACAAACTTTAATCAAATTTTTGAATTTTTCAAGATTAGAAGATTATCGAGTTTTATTTTTCAAAAATCTTGAGTAGTGAAAAAAATTCAAAGTATGAAATATGATGCAATATGACAACTTATCATATATTGACTTAAGCACTTGTGAATGACACCTATATTATCTTGGTAACATCCTGTACCAAGAATCAAATATCTGACATTTTCTGGATGTTGAGCATGGCCTGTCTGGGTTGAAGAAGCAACAGGACACTTAGCCCAAGTTGTTCAACTGGTGTTGTCATGTCACCACACTGCATAAGACATGAAAACCTCTCTCCTCTTCCACAGACTGCAAATTTGGCATCCTGTGATTCAACAATGCACACTGGCAGATTGCAACAGTAGCATTCACTGTCTCAGAATGTTGCATTTTTCAACAATTGCCTGTCTTGTTACATAGAATAAATTGGGTTCATCCTGTGAAGTTTAGTGGTAAGACACGTAAGACTTTTCTCCCAGTTTAAATGATATCTGTTAATACAATATCATTCTTATTGGTAGAAAATATGTATTTAATATGGTAAACTTGCGTTTCTGCTGTTCTCAGTTAAGAGGGTCCTGCCATCTTGTGGTCAATGTTCCTATTAAATTACCTGTCTTTAGAAGATGTCAAGTTTAAAATAAGTTGAACATTTTTATTCCTGTTCTACACATTATAAATTATCTAACTTAATGACAATACCTTAAAGCTGAAAATGTTTATAAATATAATATCTTCTTGGGGTGGAGTAGTCTAATATTAATTTTCTTCACAAAGACATACTACATATAAAACACACTGCATTCTCTAAAATATACCTAAACTTTATATCCTCCAATGCAAATAAAGTAATGTATTTAAATGATTAATGACAATAAAATGTTTTTGTCACACCCCTCAAGTTGTTTTTTCCTCCAACTTTGGATGAGTGAAAGTGAACATTGAATTTAAAATTCTCTTCACTGAAATTTGTTCAAACTGTTGAATATATTATGTTCCATTCATTACATCACAGATAAGTTACCATAATGATACCACAGTTTGTAATGATTCTTCTACAGAAGTCAACCCTCCATTTAAAAAAGTTAAATAGTACAAACAGACCTTCAATAATGATTGTATAAGGTTCTGGATTTGATGTATGAGGAAAATGAGCAACCCAAATGATAAGTCTATTCTAATTTGCACAGAGTGTGACTATAAGTTGAAGGATGCCAACAGGCTGACTTTAATGAAACATAAAGCCACAAATAAGCATAGTGCATTCACAGCTAAACAAAGAACAGTGTGGATCAGTACTTTTTTCAACAAACAGGCAGAACCAGATATCAATAAAATAACTGTAAAAGCTGAAGTTTTGCTATTTGAATTCACAGCTGAGCAGAAAATGTCATTCCTTTAGGTCGACCATATGGCTGAACAGATGAAAAGAATGTTTCCAAACAGTAAAATTGCCCAAAACATCAAGATCAAAAGAAACAAATCATTGTATTTGACAGAAGAAGGAATCACTTTGAAAGAAAGTGAGTTATTGTTGTCAATTTGCAAGTACAATAAGTTTTGCTTATCATCAGTGAATATCCTGACTTTTCGATCTCCTAAATCCTTGCTGTTATTTTGACATTCTACCATAATAGGAAAGTAAAAGAATGTCTTTGATGAGGAATCAATTTCTATGGGGGCAAATACTGGTTTCCAAGCTCATCTGAAGGCATGGGCATCTGCAGTTATTAAATCTCTTGCAACGAGGTTGGTCTAATCTTATTGTTTGGGATGAATGCACAATGGCGCACAAAAATCGCTCGAGGTTCTTGATCGATCATTGCAAGATTTGCGTGGAAACATCAGACCATTTGGGGACGCATTAATATTGCTTGCAGAATATTTCAGGCAAACATTACCTGTAATTCCGCGATCGACACCAGCGGATGAAATAAATGCTTGCCTGAAATACTCTACTTTGTGGCGACACATAAAGATGTTAAAATTAACTACAAATATGCGTGTCCAGCTGCAAAACGACCAATCAGCTGAGATATTCTCACATCAATTGCTGGAAATTGGGAACGGAAAGGTGCCGGTTGATCTGACCTCAGGACGAATTTCATTGCCTCATAACGTCTGCAATTTAGTGACGTCAAAAGAAGAATTGGTTGAAAAAGTATTTCCCAATATTTAAACCAATTATAAGAATCACGATTGGCTGAGTGAATGAGCTATTCTTGCGGCCAAGAACAAAGACGTCTAGAAACTTAAAAATATTATTCAGTCTAACATTCAAACTGAG